GAAACATGGCAACAGCAATGGCAGGCATGATAACATCGTTAACGCCAACTGCAAGAGCAACAGCCGCAACCCTTCACAACTGTAAGGACCAGGACTAGACTAGACGACATGCGAACAGACACACACACACAGCTGCACTGCTAATCGTTCCCTGCTGACACTCAGCTTATGTGTCGAAGATACTGAGGTGTAGGCCGTGGCTTCAGAAGGCATGGGTGCCTTAGTCTTGCATGGGTGCTCCTCGTCACAGAAATATGAAAATTTTAAAGGAACCGCAGCAGCAGGAAGCGGCCAGGATAGGGCAAGCGACAGGGAAGGCAGCAGAACTCGCAATCTGCGGAGGCGGCGCCTCATCACCCGCCTTGGCCCCCGGAACCAAGGACGAAAAAAGACGGCCAAGGGAAACAAAACTGCAGTGTGACGAAAAATGCTGCAGAGTGCAGAAATTTGTAAGCTACAAGCATGGAGAAACCAGAATTTGAATCTCGACAAGCCCTCCTTCCCTCCTTCCCTCCTTCCTTCCTCCCCTCTTTTCCTCCTTCCTTCCTTCCCTCCTTGCCTCCTTCCTTCCCTTCTTCCTTCCTTCCCTCCTTCCTTCCCTCCTTCCCTCCTTCCTTCCCTCCTTTCCTCCTTCCTTCCTTCCTTCCTTCCCTCCTTTCCTCCTTCCTTCCTTCCTTCCTTCCCTCCTTCCCTCCTTCCCTCCTTCCTTCCTTCCCTCCTTCCCTCCTTCCCTCCTTCCCTCCTTCCCTCCTTCCCTCCCTCCCTCCCTCCCTCCCTCCTTCCTTCCTTCCTTCCTTCCCTCCGTCCGTCCGTCCTTCCTTCCTTCCTTCCTTCCTTCCTTCCTTTCCTCTTGTATGGTCATTTATTTTTTTTGATGCATTTATATTTTTTTTGATGCATTTTTATTTTTTTTTGATGCATTTTTATTTTTTTTTGATGCGTCTCCCCATATCCATCCCATGTGTCTTGGATATGTATCTATGTATATACATACATATTTGCGTTGTTGTTATTGTTGTCAACGGGTTATCGATTTAATTTCAGCTGATATCTCCAGATATTCGCTTGTGCATGTGTTTGTGTGTGTGTCCATCCACATAGTGTATTATCATTTCATCAATCTAGTCATTTATTGATTGATATTATCTATTTCTATTTGGATGTATGTGCTCTCCAATAGCTATACAATGTAATGGTGTGTGTGTGCATGCTATCTATCTATCCTTATCGGTCTAGGTTTATCTATATATGGTTGTCTATTTATGTTCTTAATGATCTATTACAGCGTTTCATGTTTTAAACTCAAATCTACATTCTTGCGGATTTATAAACATTTTACCTTGATACATGTGCATAGCCTATACTCATATGTTGTTCCTTAAACAAGTACCAAGCAACTTCACCCAGAACCAGTAATGGGCATTGGACTTCCACCAAAATTCGGCTGGTGAATTGTTAGAAAATATCCCATATATTGGATATGTCTCTTACATCATCATTGGTGAATATCACCAATTATAGGGGATATAAGATGATGTGGCTATGGGTCAAAACCCTGGTACCTAGTGAACCTTCAAATAGCTAGTAAATAGATCTTCATCCCACTCAAATTGATAGCAATAGGTTTTGACCCACCCCCATGTATTGGAATACACATGTATATCCCCTTCGTTGCTTCTCAAACTCCCCAGTTGTTCTGCGCTTCAAAAACCAGCTGGCAATTTGAAACCAAAATTACAGAATCCGATGTCCAAACAAAAACTGTAGCAAGATAGCTGGGATTTGAAACCATCAACTTGTTGGGTCTTAAGAAAATAAGGTAGCCCCAAAATCCCTTTATTATCATGCTCCCAATCAAAATTGCCATTTCAGGGGTACACCCTATTTTCAGAGCCATCAAATACACTGTTCACTGGTGAGATACGGTTGTTCAATCCCCATGTTCATGGTTAAACCACCATGTTCTGGTCACAGTCCCATATTTTTTGGTCGGAACCCAGGACTACCAAAGCTGGCCTTGTGCCTTGTTTCTCGTTGAAGGCGCTGATGCATTCACCTTGTTACGGCCAATAACTGGGTGATTTCACTATCAAAGCGTGAGATTTAATCAGCAAAATTGCGACAGTGACAGGATATGCATCCTGCATCCGTGTAAATATACATATACATGTATGTATACAATGTTGTACATATGTATGTATGGATGAGTATCTATATACATATATGTAAATGTATACGTATTTATATGTATATATATATATGTATATATATATACATATACATATACATGTACATATACATATATATATACATATATATATATACATATATATATATATACGTGTATATATATATACATATATATACGTATATATATACACAGATATACATATATACATAGATACATATATACATATATACATATATACACATATACATATATACATATATACATATATACATATATACATATATACATATATACATATATACATATATACATATTATATACATATATACACATATACAATACATATATACACATATACACATATACACATATACACATATACATATATACATATATACATATATACATATATACATATATACATATATACATATATACATATATACATATACATATATATATTATCATATATATATATATGTATACATATACATGTGTATACATATACAGTGTGATATTTCGAGTTGCAAAACAGTGTATTTGCCAGAAGACAGCAAACTTGAGATGGGAAATTCATATTCGATTTTTAACCACTGGATTTGAGGGTACGGTATGTTTGGACAAACGAATCCATCCAACATCTGAATCAATGGTCTCAAATCACACCCACCCAGGATCACGAACTGGGGAACCAGTAAACTGGTTAGTGTAGTAAGGCCCGAGCAGGGGGAGGAGGCTACAACCGCCGCAAAGATGACATCAATAAGAAATGGACATTATGAAACGGGAGTAACGGGCCACCGGGCCACCCGTTTAAACGGGTGATCTACAAAACTAAAGACCAGGCCGCAAGGCCAACCAACAACAGGCAGTTTCATCATGTTTCATCCAAGTCCTTTGGCAATTTGGAGAGTCCACGGATGGACACATTCCACGGCTCTTGGACTCTTGGCGTTCTATCACCGGTGTGATGTTCTCCAAGTCCTTTGGGGTACACCTTCATCCACTTTACAAACCTCACTTATCCGTGAGACATCCATGAATTGGTCAAGTCAAAACGCCGCCCAAGGAGCTGAGAGCGGTGAATTCCAACATCGCCTCACCAAGGGCCGATTCAAGGGCCATATAACTTTTGAGTGTACAGCAAATACATATATAGAGTATATCAAGTTACAGTGCATTACCCAGAACTACAGCTACAGCTACACTGCAATATACATTACAGTTGAAAGTGGCTCATGTGGCAGTTGTAGTGTGTAGTCTTGTGTGAGTATCCCACAAGCCTCATAGTGACTTTGGTGGACTTATGTTTCGGTTATTTCTAGCGTTGAAGATGTCTAGAAAGAAAAACTTAAAGCATGAAATCTGATGAAATGTTTATGCTGTGATGAAGCGTTTATTTGGGAATTGTCTGACAAATACATTGTGCATTTGTACAATAAAAAGGGATGAGATGACTTGTGTATATGATCTGTGCGATACGGGATGTATCCTAGAAACAGCATCTTATGTTTTTGGAGTGTGGTCTCAGGGATGAGGTTTCGGGTGGGTGGAAAGTATCGCTATGCAAAACGCGCACTTGAACAAACTCAATCATGCAACATGCATAACCAATCTATCTCGACCAATGCTATTTGTGTCATGTGATGTCTACTATATATATATATACATATATAAACATACATATTAAACATACATATTCATGTATATATATAATTTCATATAATGTGGGTAAAACAATTATAAACCACCCATTTGGGATGGTTTATACCAACTATTGATGGTGATTTGGGTCATGGGTCATAATAGAAGATCTCCCCGCCTCACCATCCAAGTCTCGAATCCGCGCCTAACGCTGGTGCCATGGGAACGGATGTTTAACAACGTTGGCGTAATAAGCCCCAACAAATGGGAAAGTATCTGATGGTGGGATCTAAATAGCATAACTTAAGATACTTCACTATATAGAAAAATGTGGGAATATATGATGGTTTATAACTCCAGTAAGGACTTAGTTGTGCTAAACGCAGGGAAAGGGGGGATGGGATGATTGTGCAAATTCCTATGGATTGGATCGTTCCGCGATTCCCTACAGCACGAGTAAGACGACGGGAAAGTATATTACATATGGGACATATAGTTTGTAATCACAACATGGTGGGACACTATGGTGGTTTATACCCTTGTTTAACATGGTTTACACACACACCCAGATAAGAAAAAAATGAAAAAATGTGATGGTAATTCTGGTGGTTCAAGAGGGTGAGGTCTAGATGACAAACATGTACACGCGAGATCTCATTAACAAGGTAAGCTTAAAATACTTCAATATATGGTGGAAATTATTACAACTACAAGTACGGATAAGTACAGTATGTTTTCTATCATCTAATCTTATGATACATTATTTATGTGGTGTATTTTGGTGTTCTTTGACCCTCATTTTGTTCAATATATAAGATCGAGAGAAATGCTTAAGACAATATTCCACTATTATATGTTGATATATATATACATACATATTGCTAGGGTCAAAACATGGTATAGGGATGTATAGGGTTTATGGTCATCCATCCTGGAATGTGAATCCAAACATAATGGGTGTGTAAATCCATGTAAATCCCTAGCATAACTGGGAGCAGGGCCAGTCACTCCAACTCAGTAACTACAGTTTTTCCTGATAATTTGAATCAAGAATGTCGTTTTACCAGGGAGCCACAGAATTGATGACTTTTCGGATCTCAGTCCATTCCAGTTTGGGCCAAGAATTTTGTACCCGTTGGCCCATTGGTATCGATGCTTTCTGCTTTCAAATGTGCCCATCAGCACCTCCCCCGGCCAGGCTCCCGGCCAGGCTGTACTTACCAAAGACCTTGAAGACATCGGACCTCAGGTGCCCCTGACATCCCAAAAGTTGGTCCAACGATTTCCGGAAATTTCCCAAAATTGGGTGTATCCCAAAATCGACTGGCGAATCACGACATATCTCCGACCATAAGTTGCGGGTATTACAGTAGCCCCACTTTCAAACACGAAACCATCAATCTGATACCCCTCATGAGGATCATCTAAAACCATTCATCGCCGGTAAATCTCCAAACCCCTGGGGGATGGAGCAGCACTTGGTGCCCCAGACGTGGTCATTTGGTTGGAGCCCTTGCTTCGGACCAGCAGGAAGACATCTTCCGGTTCCGGCAGCTTCGGTTCCTGGTTCCAACCGTTGGGATCGATGGATCATCATCGAAACCACCAGCGCATCGTTTGAACATCAAACACTTCGGTGACCACAACGAACAAGTATCTGGGGATAAGGTGTCAAATCCCAAAAAATGCATCGAAATAATGGGACATGTTCCGAACCCTGTTTCACGGCTGGGGCCGAACACATACCCCACCGTTAAGGATGAAATTTGTGAAAGATCGGTCATTGAGCATTGTCAAGTTCAATATGTAGATGTAGAATGATGTAGATACGATTTCCTAGTCGAAATGGTTCAATTGTTGATTCTATCAGTTCCATATTTGATATTGGGTACGGTATGGATTCATCCAATTTGTCATAGAATTGTTAGGAGGGGTTGCTTGGGGTGTGTAGGCAAATCAAGGTATCAATGAACCCAGGTCAAACAAAAGGGATTTCCAAGATTTTTTGGCATCGTGACTTTTGTTTTCCATTGATATTCTGTCAATCATGATTCCCTGATTCTGGAACCAGCATGGTTGCCACACAACAAACAATTTTGTGGGCCCGAAAACCAACAAACATTTTTTTGGAGGATTTAGGGAAACGTTTGGGTTACCCAATGGGGGCACTTGGAAAACATCCCTAAAAACCCTTTTGATCGCTATTTGCGGTGTCTTTTGGGTGGTTACTGCACAGACGCAAGTTTTATTTAGCTTAAAATTTGGTTTTATTTAGTTTAATTAATTGTATTTAATTTTATTTAGTTCTATGATGTTTTGTTTTATTCAGTTTTATTGAATTTCAGTTGTTGTTGTTTAATTTTAGTATGTTTTAGTATGTTATACTATGTTTTAGTGACATTTAGCATTTTTTAATTTGATGTCGTGTGGGTTTATTTGTATTTACTATAAAGATAAATTGTGTTTTTGTTTCCCCTGGCTTTACTTTCTTGCCTTCCCTGTGACAATGGCCCCCTTTTTTGGTTCTTGAAACCAAGGTCTTAAAAAAAAATCCTTGTGACAAGAAGCAAACACCCGCAGCCCTAAAATTTCCCTAGGCCTCATTTGGTTGGTAGTGGTTCTGTTGGGGAACTTACGAAGCACTGCTGGCTGGGGCACTTTGCCAACTTCCAATTTTGGCAGTTTTTCACTGAAATGCCTTGTTTTTAGTTTTTTCCACCTGATGAAAACCCCTTTTGTAAACTTGTAGTTTTAACATTAACTTGTTTACCTTTATTTTCGTTTATTTGGATTCTTGGTCGTTTGTGGCGGTGTCCATGCCATCTTGCAGCAACCCCCGCTTGCAGACACTTCCAACAACTCCATGAGTTTGAGGATAGAACGGATAATCTTGCAAAAAATATCCTACATATCAAGATATCTTAGCTTTGTATAATATGCAATCTTTCGAGGCATTCGCAAGTACAATCTGCGAAGCCCCTGCAGGTTTAAACAATGGTGGGAAGCAGATGGTGGAACGCCGCGAGTTCATGTGCAGGCGTGCATCTGAGAGGAGGGCGTGACCCAATTCTATGAAGGCCTTTGTGTTCACATTTTTCGGCGCGCCGTAGGCCTTTTCAGCCACGAAGGCCAAGCGAACGGCCCGAATTAGCGATCCGTCACGGCGGGGCGCAAAGGATTCAAATGCCGCTTGCTGCGCCTTCTCTGCCATCGCAGCGAGGAGCCCCCGAATTTGTGGCGTCGGAGCTGTCAGCAATGATGCCTTTAGATGCCTTTAGCGCATGATGCTTGTAAGGCGCAAGGGCGTTAGCTGTACTCTTTACATGCCGTTCGATCACCTCGCGCGCAGCGACGAATTCAGGCAGGTCGCGACCATTCGTGAATTGTAAGAATTCTAGAAGGGCAGGATTAGAGGTGAACATCAAAAGGTCACCGCCGTTGGGCTCCGAAAATGATAACTTTGGACTCTTTGTCAAACTCCTCCAGGTCACATGCATTGCCACCCACGGCCGTCACGGCCACTTCCATGTGCTGCGCGTCGCGCAACGTCAAGCCCAGCTTGTGGCGGCCCTTCGAAGTAACACTCGGCTCCTCCTTCTCCGATAAGATTCCCACGATGTTGACATGGCCCTGACAACCAATCAGATTTGTGAAGTCGCAGCAATAGTCCGCCAGCCGCGGCTGGATGCCAGCAATCGTAAGCGGCGCACTCTCGATGGCAGACAGCTCAACCGAGTTCAATGAGACAATTTGCACGCCCTCACCGCCCCCTATAGAGCAATGCAGCCGGAGCCAATGCAGGAGCAAATAGCACAATTGCTTGTCACCTGCCATGCAAAGTTGGGAAGAGGGGAGGCTTCCCAAATGTCCAGGTCGGCTGCTTGCATGACTGGAAACCGCCAGACGGCGAATTTACCGACCCACACCGAGCCGTTCACTACGATGTGGCATTGTCGGTCCTGGCAAGCGCAGGGCAATGCATGGACACATGCGGAAAAAAGTTGAGATTATGCACATGTCGGCGATGATATATATTTGCTGACTTGGCTGTGAACAGTCACTCCTTAAGGCTGTGTGCAGAACCCGGCCTTCAAAGTGCCACACGGATGTTTTGTTGGTGGTTTTGTTGGTGGTTTTGTTGGTGGTTTGTTCGTGGTTTTGTTGGTGGTGGTGGTGGTGGTGGTGGTGGTGGTGTGGTGTGGGTTGTCGTCGTTGTCGTTGTCGTTGTCGTTGTCGTTGTCGTTGTCGTTGTCGTTGTCGTTGTTGTTGTTGTTGTTGTTGTTGCTGTTGTTGTTGTTGCTGTTCTTGTTCTGTTGTTGTTGCTGTTTTTGTTTTGTTGTTGTTGGTTTTGTTGGTGGTTTTGGTGGTTTTGTTGGTGGTTTTGTTGGTGGTTTTGTTGGTGATTCTGTTGGTGATTTTGTTGGTGGTTTTGTTGGTGATTCTGTTGGTGATTTTGTTGGTGGTTTTGTTATTGGTTTTGTTGTTGGCTTTGTTGTTGGCTTTGTTGTTGGCTTTGTTGTTGGCTTTGTTGTTGGCTTTGTTGTTGGCTTTGTTGTTAGTTTTGTTGTTAGTTTTGTTGTTAGTTTTGTTGTTGGTTTCGTTGTTGGTTTCGTTGTTGGTTTCGTTGTTGGTTTCGTTGTTGGTTTCGTTGTTGGTTTTGTTGTTGGTTTTGTTGTTGGTTTTGTTGTCCCCGCCTCTGCCAAGCCCTCCACATATCTGACGTCTAGGCAGTGCTGGCGCGTCTGTTTTGCTGCCCAGGAGTCCACGTCTGGCAGTGCTGCTGGAGCTGGAGCGGTGTGGTAAGGCACCACCTTGCGCGACAAGACGATTATGACGTGTGAAATTCGGAGGTGGCATGGATGATGTTGCAAGCACGCGGCCCTTGTCGATGCCCCAGGCTTCATGGGCAAACTGCAGCGTGGACTCCTGCCAGGTAAGAGAAGATGCGGTGTGGGAATGGGAATGAAGATGGATGTGTCAAAGCTTCCATGAATGTGAGCACCTCGGACCTTCTTGCAAGCGGAGAAGAGTTTGCCTAAGAGCATTTCAGCTTGCTGCTTGTTCTGTGACAGAGTAAGGCGGGAATCAGAAGGGTCATCGTGACAGTGAGACGGGTTCGTCTATGGAGACACACGTCGGACTAATTGCGTGGCTGACGGGCATGGTTCTGACTGACGCAACAACGTACTTCGTCATTGGCGCACAGAAGGGTGCGCATTTTGGCAGCGGCGTGCAGCTGCGGCACCTACAGGGGTGCATCGAATCCCTTGGAGCTATCCTGCGTTTGCAACGACAAGGAAGGAGACCATGGATGCAAGCGGTGGAATATGCATGACCACTTAGATTATAAACCATCATACTGAAATGCCCTAAATCTGCTAGAGTGTCTATAAGCCTATGAACTAAATGTCCAAAAAAATGAAAAGATGAAACCTGAAAATGAAACTTCTGATGTGAACTGAAAACAAATTAAAAAATGCAAATCTGAAAATGCAACTTTTCATGAACTGAAAAAATGAAAAAAAAAGTGTAAATCCAAACATGTAACTTTCTATGTGAACAAAAAGCAAATACTTTCTTCGAGTAATCCCCACCAAGTGACATGTTTTTGACATATTTTCTGACATTCTATCTGGTATATCTTCGGAGATTCTTTGTGGTTGAGGTCCGGCGGGGAACCCGGCGGGGAACACTTTGATCCGGAGCTTGCGGTGGAGGATGCTTTCATACAAAAGCGCTTTTACACAGAGAAACATGTAAACAAAGAAGCTTGTACACAGAGAATCATGTACACAAAGAAACTTTTGCACAGCAGCTCTTACTCGAACTGTTACACTTCGCAACCACTTGATGATGGGTGGTTGACATGATGATGTGGTTCTTATAATGATGGAAATGCTGACCATAGCAACCATCCGTAACTCGGAAGTGTTCTAACTAAATTTCCTCTGATCAAGTCGGATACATTATTATTTATAGATATATAACAAAAAACCTTTCTATGTTCTTTTCATATACCCCCTTACTCACTTTTACTATGTATACTTGATATGCCCATTATATAAATCTTCATCTCCAGGTCCACCTCATCGATCTCCACCTCGACCATGTCGGTTTCTTCTTGGGTGTCAGCAAGCGCGGCGCCGGGATCACCATGGTCCCAGCGGTCCCAGCGGTCCCCGCGGTCCCAGCGGTCCCCGTGGTCCCAGCGGTCCCAGCTGTTCCCGCGGTCCCAGCGATCCCAGCTGTTCCAGCCTGGCGTAGGATAAAGTAGTTCCAGTGGATTGGCTAAGGGGAAAATCTGCAGGAAACCTGGAGTCAAATGAAATCTTCATTTGATTATGAGGTGTTGATTATTCCAGGGTGTCCAAACTTGCTTCGCGTAATGCAAGTGCTAAACACACCCGGGAAAAACAATTTAACTGCTGTATACTACTGTATCTAAATTGTTTGGGACTGTGAAATATTCCATCACAATTGTTTTAAAGAAAAACATGAACCAAGCCAAACCGATGGTTTTTCTCCAGAGCTTCTATGAGCTTCTCCCATCTTCCTGGTGGCCCCAGGCTGCCTTTGGCCGCTGGATAGTCGGGCTTCCAAGTCGCAGCCTCCTCCCAATATGCATTGGCCTGGACAAAAGAACTGGCTTCAGCCAACAGAAATATGGGGTTTACCCTGCGGCAATCTAACCTGCCAAGGAAAATAACCCATATTTTTATTGCGCACATGACTCTCCCATCAAACGGGTGAATGTTCTCATTGTTCTAATGATCATTCCTCCAAGACGACCTGGAAACCCAAGTCAACGTCCTCATGGGGGGCATGAGAGACCCGGTGTTTTCTCATCACTTTCTCCGGAAAATTGGATGTGGCTATCCCCCATTCCCAGGCAAACCCAAATATCATAGTGTTGGTTGTACATCCCATTATGTATATATATATACACATATATATATACATATATACATATATATATATATATTAAAACAGATAGATAGATACATACACATATCGTATATTATGTATACAGTCTCGTCAAATCTTCATCTCCAAGCGCATCCCGCTCGACCCAGATTTGCGCCTCAGGCTCCGCGGGCTCTGCAGGCTCCGCAGGGGCATCGGGAAGCGTCACATGTTGGTCCATCCAGCCTTGCGCAGCGACCCGCTTCGGAGGGGGATCAACAGATATTTTTCACTTTAAGAAAATGACTCTATCCCAAGGATCCGGAATCACTTCCCAAACTCGCTTTTTGTCATCGACGTCAGTGTGGACGGTTGGTGATTGAATGTCAACAAATCACAGACGAAGAAGCGTCAAATGGAATCCTCATTTCAGGATCTGGAAATGTTTTTTTGCAGGGTGTCCAAACTTGCTTCGCGTAATGCAAGTGCTAAACACACCCGGGAAAAACAATTTAACTGCTGTATACTACTGTATCTAAATTGTTTGGGACTGTGAAATATTCCATCACAATTGTTTTAAAGAAAAACATGAACCAAGCCAAACCGATGGTTTTTCTCCAGAGCTTCTATGAGCTTCTCCCATCTTCCTGGTGGCCCCAGGCTGCCTTTGGCCGCTGGATAGTCGGGCTTCCAAGTCGCAGCCTCCTCCCAATATGCATTGGCCTGGACAAAAGAACTGGCTTCAGCCAACAGAAATATGGGGCTTACCCTGTGGCGTCCGCATGGATAGGGCATGTTTTGCGGCTTCAACCGTCCAATTCCTGTGAAAATGCGGTGCTGGATACAAATAAGCAAACTTTGGGGCTGTATTTTGAGCCATGCCCGGTATATGTACATAAGCTATCTAAGCCATTGACCATCTTGCCTGTAATGTACACAGTATACTAGCTGTCTGTTGGAGTCCTTATGAACCAATATATGTCTGCCCACAACTGATGGGTCAAGAAACTATTCTCTCCCAAATACAAATTTGTGTACTATATATATATATACAATATCATAGTATATTATATTCATACATTCATATACTCCCCCATTGGTTCCATTCCATTCGCTGTGATGTCTTAACAACCCACAAGATATCATTGCACGTCTTCAGTTACGGACCCATCAACATTGATTCCAAAGAATCTGATAAGCGAATACTAAGAACAAACAAGTCTGTGGCCCCATGGCCTCACATGTTGACCTCAATATGGCTATGTCTCAACATTTATCCCAAAACCCTATGCCAAAACCCGATGGATCCGCTTGTCATCATTCTTCGGTTGCTACCATAAGGGTGCAGTTTGTTTTTATATGGCAGTGTGTCAAAACCTTGTACCCCTGGTGAACATCAAAATAGCTGGTAAATGGATGTTCATCCCACTAAAAATGGTATTAATAGGTATTGATCCATACCCGTATGTTTTTCCCGAATGCGTAGCGAAGGGTTCTTGTTTTCTTTCTTGGGGGTCTCAGAGTGGTGAACTGTTTGCGGGTCGTTTTCGTTTTGCTGTTCTCTAATCGCGTCGTTGCCCTGTCTATGGGGAAAGTGAGAAAGGGTGATGTTTTGTGACGTGTGAAAGTGCATTTCGCGTGGCAGGCGTGGGACTTTGTGGCAGTCAGGCAGAAGTTGATTCGCGGGTCTTTAAACGCGTCGTCGCCGTGTCTATGGGGAAAGTGACAAAGGGTGATGTTTTGTGACGTGTGAAAGTGCATTTCGTGTGGCAGGCGTGGGACTTTGTGGCACTCAAGCAAAAGTTGCTTCGCAGCTCTCTGATGTTTACGTCGCCGCGCTGTCCATGGGGAAAGTGAGAAATGGTGGTGTGGAGTGTGAAGTGTGCAGTGTGAAGTGTGGAGTGTGAAGTGGAGAGTGTGGAGTGTGGGAGTGTGAAGTGGAGAGTGTGGAGTGTGGCAGTGTGAAGTGGGAAGTGTGGAGTGTGAAGTGTGCAGTGTGAAGTGTGGAGTGTGAAGTGTGGAGTGTGGGGTGTGGAGTGTGAAGTGTGGAGTGTGAAGTGGAGAGTGTGCAGTGTAAAGTGTGGCAGTGTGAAGTGTGGAGTGTGAAGTGCAGTGTGAAGTGTGGAGTGTGAAGTGTGAAGTGGAGAGTGTGGAGTGTGGAGTGTGAAGTGTGGGGTGTGAAGTGGAGAGTGTGGCAGTTTGAAGTGTGGAGTGTGAAGTGCAGTGTGAAGTGGGAAGTGGAGAGTGTGGAGTGTGGAGTGTGAAGTGGAGAGTGTGGAGTGTGGGAGTGTGAAGTGGAGAGTGTGGAGTGTGGAGTGTGGCAGCGTGAAGTGGGAAGTGTGGAGTGTGAAGTGTGCAGTGTGAAGTGTGGAGTGTGAAGTGTGGATTGTGGGGTGTGGAGTGTGAAGTGGAGAGTGTGCAGTGTAAAGTGTGGCAGTTTGAAGTGTGGAGTGTGAAGTGCAGTGTGAAGTGGGAAGTGGAGAGTGTGGAGTGTGGAGTGTGAAGTGTGGAGTGTGAAGTGGAGAGTGTGCAGTGTAAAGTGTGGCAGTTTGAAGTGTGGAGTGTGAAGTGCAGTGTGAAGTGGGAAGTGGAGAGTGTGGAGTGTGGAGTGTGAAGTGTGGAGTGTGAAGTGGAGAGTGTGCAGTGTAAAGTGTGGCAGTGTGAAGTGTGGAGTGTGAAGTGTGGAGTGTGAAGTGTGGAGAGTGAAGTGTGAAGTGAAGAGTGTGGAGTGTGGAGTGTGAAGTGTGGAGTGTGAAGTGTGGAGTGTGGAGCCTGGTTCCACGGGGTCTTGCTGCGTGCGCAGGCGGGCTTTGGTTGCGCAAACCCTGTTTGCATCTGTTTCGCCGCAGTGACCCAGAGTGATGTTGCATCATTCACTTGTCGCATCGTAGAAGGTGAGTGTATTATACTGTCCGGTTATTCATCCGTCAGGTGCTTCGAGTTTTACGGCCTCACTATCGCGCAGCTGTTGCAGGGTTAAAAAAGTTCGTAGCTGTCTATGACTTCACTTCTCCACAACATTTTAAAAATGCATTCGGGTTCGTGGCTTCTATATTCGGGTTCGTGGCTTCTATCAGGTTGTTTTTTTTTTGATTTTTTTTTTGCAGTCTGGGGCACTTTTCCTTGCTATTTGCTACATTTTGGAGCAAAAACCTGTACTTTGCTGAATTTTGGAGCTAAAATTTGCCATTTGCACTGTTCATCGATTTTTCCATGGTGTTCATTGATTTACCCAAAGTTTTCACCGATTTTTCCATAGGTTTCATTGAGTTTGCCATGGGTTCAATTGATTTTTTCACGGTTTCAATCGATTTTTCCATGCATAACATGCACCTGGTGAACATGTAGAATATAGGTTGAAGCACAACCGTGTTGAGTCTAAATAGTGGCATTGGATGCTATCATAGTGTTGGTTGGTTTAGGGTTGGTTTAGGGTTGGTTTAGGGTTGGTTTGGGGTCATTTAGGATTGGTTTAGGGTTGGTTTAGGGTTTATTTAGGGTTGGTTTATGGCTGGTTTAGGGTCATTTAGGTTTGGTTTAGGGTTGATTTAGGGTTTATTTAGGGTTGGCTTAGGGCCTAGGGTTTATTTAGGGTTGGTTTAGGGTTTATTTACGGTTGATTTAGGGTTTTTTAGGGTTGGTTTAGGGTTTATTTAGGATTGGTTTAGGGTTTCTTTAGGGTTGGTTTAGAGTTGGTTTAGGGTTTATTTAGGGTTGGTTTAGGGTTTATTTAGGGTTGGTTTAGGGTTGGTTTAGAGGGTTGGTTTAGGGTTTATTTAGGGTTGGTTTAGGGTTTATTTAAGGGGTTGGTTTAGGGTTTATTTAAAGTTGGTTTGGGGTTTATTTAGGGTTGGTTTAGGGTTGGTTTAGGGTTATTTAGTTTAGGGTTGGTTTAGGGTTTATGTTTATTTCGGGTTGGTTGTGTCGGGTTGGTTTAGGGTTTCTTTAGGGTTTCTTTAGGGTTGGTTCAAGGTTTATTTAAGGTTTATTTAGGGTTGGTTTAGAGTTTATTTAGGGTTATTTAGTGCTATTTAGGGTTATTTAGGATTATTTAGGGTTGGTTTAGGGTCTATTTAAAGCCTGTTGAGGGTTGGATTAAGGTACATGTAGGGATACCAGGTGTGTATAGCAAGATAGATAGATAGATAGATAGATAGATGGATCGGATAGGTAGATAGGTAGATAGGTAGATAGGTAGATAGGTAGATAGGTAGATAGGTAGATAGGTAGATAGGTAGATAGGTAGATAGGTAGATAGGTAGATAGGTAGATAGGTAGATAGGTAGATCGATGGATGGATGGATGGATCGATAGATAGATAGATAGTTCGATGGATGGATGGATGGATGGATCGATAGATAGATAGATGGATAGAAAGATAGATAGATAGATAGATAAGATAAGATAGATAGATTAGATAGATTAGATAGATTAGATAGATTAGATAGATTAGATAGATTAGATAGATTAGATAGATAGGTAGATAGATTAGATTAGATTAGATTAGATTGGACTAGACTAGACTAGATTCGACTAGATTAGATTAGATTAGATTTAGATTAAATAGATTAGATTAAATAGATTAGATTAAATTAGATTAGATTAAATAGATTAGATTAGATAGATTAGATAGATTAGATAGATTAGATAGATTAGATAGATTAGATTAGATAGATTAGATAGATAGTTTAGATAGATAGTTTAGATAGATAGTTTAGATAGATAAGATAAGATTAGATTAGATAAGATTAGATTAGATTAGATTGGACTAGGTTACATTAGATAGAAAGATAGGTAAAGCATGGTAAAGCCACAAAAGCCACACACACCCACAAAAGCCACAGAAGCCACAAAAGCCACAGAAGCCAGGCTGGAAAACAAAAAAAACACCAAAAATATAGCATCTGGTTATTTAACGGTTTGCCATGGAAAGATCCACCATGCTTTTTTTATAGGTAAACCATCTATTTCTATGGGCCAGGGCCATACCATGGCTATGTTAGCCATAACCAGAGGTAGCCCTCCATCCTCGGGCTCCGCAGGCTCTGGAGGCTCCGCAGGCTCCGGATCCAGCGAATCTGGCGACTCGGCGTGAGGGCCCTTTGAAAGGAAGGGGAGGATTTTCTGAACACTTGAGAAATATGATATAAATATATCAAATATATAATATGGTGAAATATGATTCTATCATATTCTATCCCAATCAGGAATCCGTTCCCAAACTTTTTTGGGTCATCAACGTAAATATGAGCATCGGCGTCAACATTGGCTACTCGGCACAATGTCCTTCCCTGCTGTTCCTGCAAGCACCAGTTCAGAAAGGTGGCTCCCGAATCTTCAAATTTTGACACATCAAGAAAGCTCATATGACTCATATATATGGAGGTTAATAGGATGTCCATTATAAACCATCCATTTTGGGGTATCTGCCCCATTTACGGAAACCCCCAATTAAAAAAAAAAACTCCATCCGGCTGAAAGAAATCAATCCATGATCATGAGCTCTTCTCACATCCAGCTGGTCCCAGGCCTGCCGTGGGTGGATAGTAGGGCTTGGGTGCACCCAGCTTGGCAAAGGCGATGGCCTCAAGCGGATGGTGTACCCTTCGGTACCCTCAAACATGGCCGGGGAAACTCCTAGGAATGATATGAATAGATATAAATGGATATATGTAAATATATAGATGTTTTCATGGGAAAATCATCGAACTAAATGGTGGATGTTTCAGTGCCATGGTTTTTTTTCCCGCAGGGGAACCAACTTTTGTGGCTGGGAATCTCTTTTGCTCTTTAGCTCCATGGGTCACCTTGCGACAACTTGTCCATCCGAGTTGATGAGCGAAGCAGTCACAGGAATTCCTTTCGAAACATGTACCCATAGGCTTCAGAGAACATTGACTCAATGGGGGTCCCCGAAGAGCCAAAAAAAATTGAGAAAACCTCATCGCTCCAAACTCGGTGACCCCAAGTACCTGAAGAGGGCAACTGCAACATATCCAGTCCCATGTTTGGATTGCTACACACTGAAACAAAATGGTTGGGCTTCCAAAAATATTGGTCAAACTCAGTCATAGATCCTGCTATACGTACCCTTGATACATCCCCATTGAAACACTAAACAATAATCCCATCAGTGACTATCGCCATCTTAGATAGATAGCCCCATTGATTGTACAAGAAGGGCCTCCCAGATATAAGTTGGTTAAGAACCCCACCCAATTGTAGACACATCGTGATGTATCTACCATGATCGGAAAATATCCTGGCCGTTATTCATGAATATACAATAATTATATACAATATTCCCATCATGATAGGTGATGTAAATATCACTCTCAATCGGAAAAGGTTATGAAAATTCTTAGTTCAATCAGTTGACTCCCCAGCTGCTACCCATGGGACAGTCAACCAGCGCAAAATTCATCCAAATATCTCCCCAGTTTGAATCCCAGCTGTCATCCTCAACCACCTTGTTGGTGAAATCTGAATTTTTTGTTGGTTATTGTTGGTTGATGTTGGTCATATGGGTCGTATCCCATGGATCAAATGGCGACAAAATCCTCTCCACATCCTGGCGTGGACAGCACCTTGGCCGCCGCTTCACAGCTTTCGTAGGTTGCCAGGGCTCCGGAATGGTCCAGCTTTAGCCTGGGCCAAGGCATTGATTGCTTCATCAAATATAGCGTCCAACTTAAGTTTGGTCACGTCTTGTCAAATATAGCCATAAATGATTATATGGCTATGGATCAATACCTATAAAAATACCATTTTTAGGGGGATGAACATCCATAAATCCCAGCTATTTTCATGTGAACTACAGGGGTACTATTGGTTTTGACACACTGCCATATGATATTATCTGTAAAATATCATGAACGAGTTCACCTCATTTCAGTGGTAACCCCAGTGATTGGGATCGTTCCAATGCCATCTTGTGCTGATGGCAGGGTCAGCCCCTCATTAGTAATGCGAAAAAACGGTGACCATGCTATGATGAAAACCCCGTTAAAAATATAAAAAAATATACAAATCATATTTATGAATTAATCAAATCCGTACATGTGAAAGGTAAACTATGGGAAGAAATTGGTGGTATGACATGGAAAAACCATGCCTCACAATTGATATCTGACCCTTGTTTTGACATGTTTGACCACGGTTCCTATGGGATCCCATGGTCCATCCGTAGCGTTGACTCAGCGCCAAGCTCCAGCAATCTGCCAAACTTTGAGCAGTAGGCTGTTGCAGATTCTTCCGTCCAGTCCTGGCAGCTGGGATTGTATCAAATTGGGAGCGAAAATGGATGGTAAACACCCAATGTTTAAAGGATACATGGATAGATATAGATATATTTATACATAATACATATATATATATATACATATATATATATGTATATATATATATATATGTATATATATATATATGAGCTCCCGTCAAAATCCTTTACATCTGAGTAGTTGCTATTGTTATGGTTATCGCTTTTGGGGGGGCCTATCGCTTTCCAGGGTTTTGTGGAAATCAGCATATTCGAGATCCAATCGACGAATTGTTTTGTTGGTTTCAGGTGCTTCGGCATGACTTCATGTTCCTTTCATTTTGCATTCATTTGCATGCATCTTCCTTCATGTTCCTTTCATTTGCATGCATATTCCTTTCATTTTGCATTCATTTCCTTTCATGTTCCTTTCATTTTCCTTTCATTTGTATTCATGACCTTTCATATTCCTTTCATTTTCATTCCAATGTGCATTCACTTACTTTCATCTTCCTTTCATTTGCATGCATGTTCCTTTTCATGTTGCATTCATTTCCTTTCATTTCCTTTCATTTCCTTTCTAAAGTTATGGAACTGGCTCTATGGCTTGGCCAGGGGACCAAGTGCAACAAATGTTTATCGCTAAGTTATCGCTAAGGTCATCGCTAAATAACCCCTCCAGCATATGACATTGTTCGAAGGAAATTTGCCACAAACCGACAGAGAGAGAGAGAGAGAGAGACAGAAAGAGAAAGAGAGCGAGCGAGACTGCAGGAAATAGGGGACCACAGATTGAATTTCCCTCATCGGTTTTGCCCGTTGTGTGAATGTGCACAACAGTATTTGCTTGGTTTACGCCAAGTTTAATGAACTGTCGTGTATGGTCCCAGGTTATCGTTTTTGGGCCCTATCGCTTTACAGTGTTTCGTGCACATTTCTGACAAAAAACTCCTGCAATATTAAAGTGGTCTTCAACCATTTTGACCGTGACTCATGTTATATATATATATGTATATATATATGATATTGATTAAATATTAAATGGATGAATTGGTGTGCTCCATTTTTGGACAACCCCATTGAATATGTTCTAGCATTCATCTGCGTATGCGTCGTGAAACACTGGGGGGCACCTCTCCTGTTTCATCAAACCAAAAAAAAGTGCATCTAGTGAATCTAGTGGTTCAAAAATGTTCAAAATCACCGTCTGACACCGTGGGTAGGACCAGGTAGGAATGGTTCCCAATGGTTCCCAGCCATGTTTTGCCCATTTTTGCCAGCCATTTCCAGCACTTTTCCCCCAGTTTTCCCCGTGCCTTGGGGACTTTTGCAAAAAGGACCATGTTGGTCACTTCATCATCGCCTCCAGAAGAACGGGTAGTTTCTGGGGATCGAGTTCATTTCAGCAGTTCACCTGGTAAATTTCGTAGATCGAAGAATGAATCACCAGTTACCCTCTGGTAATTTAACATAGCTATTGAAAATGGTGATTTATAGTGGATTTCCCCATTAAAAATTGTGATTTTCCATAGCTATGTTAAATTACCAGAGGGTAAGTCTATGACATTTGTTGCTATGGTTTTTAACGCACCCATAAACGGGCTGTGGAGTAGGTTGGATGTACCCGGAGACAAATATGTCTATCGGTATTAGGTTCAATGTTGTTGTTGTAGACAACGCCGCAGCCCACAGCAGCGCCGCCAAGCGCCGGAGGCACACGGCTCAAAGCACCTCAGTGGTACCTTAGTAGCGGGCCTCAAGAATGAGACCACGTACCTTAGCAAGATGCTGCAAAGATATCGAGCAGCCCCAGCCCAGTCGTTGAGTGATCCTGGATTCAGGCAAAGCTGATCTTTCATAAGGATACGCCGGGCACTCCCAAGCCACGTGCTGGAAAAATCCCTCACAGTCACACCACGGACATTTTTCCACCTGGAAGCCCGGAATTTTGCTGGCAAAACCAGGACTGACAAACGCGCCAACCAGCACCCCGACAGTGAGGGCGTCTTGGCCATGCGCCAAGTCACGAGCAGATTTTGCCATCCGTTCGTCATAAGGGTAACCTTGCAAATCGTCAACCTCATGCCTTTCAGATTTCAGATATTCACCCCACCAAAAACACCGCCAGGATTCCCGCAACAGATGCCTAGCCCAGTCAACCAAAGAAATGAATCTACGATTGGTCGGGTCCAAGGTGAAATGTTTCCTAAGCCCCTCATGGTGCCATTCCCACGGAGCTACCACCGTCCAGCCCAAACTCTTCAAAAACCGGCGAATGCGATAGGCCGGCCCTTGACTGACTTCCCAGTCTTGTAATGGAACATGTGACTTCATGACTCTCCTAAACACAGCCATGACCGCATCCACGCCTGCACAAAAAGAAACATCTTGACAATGGCCCAGCACAATGCGAATCAAACATGGTGATGCCATGCGATGTTCATATCCAGCTCTGCGAAGCCTTGTTTCAAGTTTTTTGAGATGTTTTTGAACTGGCGCCCGAGCCAGCCATCCAAAAGAAGCCTTAGCAGTTGCAGCGCAAGTGGCCACAAAGGATCTGACAGCAGCTGTCACAGGAGCCGCATGAACCTTACTGGCACATTCGAAGGCCTTGGTCAGTCTTTGTTTTTCCTTTCGAGTGTGCTCTCCCACACCCAAATGCGCACCCAAAACGCAAATATTATCAACCACATGGCTCTGCAAGACCTGATTGCGACCCATATCACGTCGTTTCTGAGGATCCCTATGTGTGAACTGACTTTTATTCATGTTTTCTCTAAATCCCAAATGTTGAGAGTGCTCCCTCCATCTTTGAAGGGTACGGATGAAAGAAGCTAGAGTGCGAGATGCCCAACTGCGATCATCTATAAACACCACCACCCGAGTCTCTGGCTCCTGGGACAAAATGGCACGCGTGGGCGTGCTAAGCAACAAGTTCAACACCCGAGGCGACAGACTGTCCCCTTGTGGCATTGACGTTGCCACTCTCTCAGGCTGCGGCAGCACTTCATTTTGCCATGTTAAGTACCTCCTCTGGGTACTCCACAAGATTTCAATAGCATCAGCCAATCCATGAGGAAATCCATGCCATTTCAAGGTCTGCGCAGCTCTGCTTGGGGTTACAAAATCGAACGCCTTGCTTAAGTCCAGGGTTCCAATATACCATCCCAAGGCAAATTTCTCCCCCAACTCAGTAAAAGCAGATGAGGCATCGTGGTTTCTTCGGCCTCCATGTTGACTGGACACAAGATGATGGGATAACCACTGTTGTTCCTGGTCGCCCCTGAGACGAGCCGTGCAGTAGATTCGCCACCACACACTCATCAGGGAGATGGGCCTTAGTCGCGACGCAGGCGTTGCGCCATCAATCAGACGAACTCCGTCTTCTTTGGCCAAGTGAATCTGAGCAATATGGCTCCAAGCTGAAGGGAACGCCTGAAGCTTTTCAAAAAAGACAAACACTGGCGCCAAGTCGCTCCAGATTTTTAAAGGGAAAGCAAAAACTTCATTACCTATCCAGCCATCCGGTCCAGCCGCTTTATGTTTTTGCTTAATAGCGGCAACACACAAGGCTCCACCTGTGATGGCTGGCCACTGCTGCGGGGCCCCCGATGGTTCAGCAAATTCCCCAAGGTACTGCTGCGTGTCAGTTTCCGTGGACATGTCACGATCCCAAACTCTACGCCAAAAATCTTTGATGACAACTAAAGCAGCCTGAGCCGAATCGCTCGCGGGAGCCCCCGCGTCATTTTCGTCATCAAAAATATTGATCGTCGGGCTCGCAGGCTTTTGCCGGACCCATTTGAAAACCAAGGTGGAATCATCCCTAAGTTTCTTTTTCCATGCTTGAAGCCTGGTCTTCTGCGTCTCAGCCAAAAGATTTTGGACCTCAGTCGCAGCATCTGCTGCAGTCATGCCATGTTTGAAATAGCGACACCTGACAATTTTCTTCCACAGCTGTTTCACTTCAAAATCAGAACAGTCAACCTGCTGAAGCCTTTCAGCTTCACACAATCGACCCCACAACCGAATCCAGACCCTGATTTTATTCGAAGAATGCGAAGGATAGTCACGGTTTAAAACCAAAGGGACCCGACGAATTTTGGGGAGATCACATTTGCGTCATTGGGGTTTTTTGTGACAGCGCATGCCCACACCCATCTGCTCGGCCTGAACCGCCTGTTTTTGCAAAAACTCTTCCAAATGGAAATTGAACTCCCTCCAAATTTGATCCACCATGGCTTGTTTTTCTTGCCGAGGAACTTCAGACGGAGTCTGTTCGACCCGGCTGGCCCAACCGGCCAACCAAGTCCCCCACGCTTCCTTGACCCTATCCCAACCCGTATCCAAGACCTGTCCACCGGAACAAGTCCGCAGGGTCCTTTGGGCAATACTTGTTGGTAGGTACCATTTCAAATTTTTCGTTCACCTCAGCAGGTGAAGGAGTCCTAACACAACCCTGAAAAGCCCTATGATCACTCCAACGGTCCTCATGAGTATCCAACGTTTGCGTATTAAAGGAGCAATTAGAGATGAAATAGTCAATCTGTCTATGGCTTTCCCATCTACTGCCGATGTCCGCGGGCGGTAAACAAATAGCATGGCCACAGGCTTGGAGGCCCATTGCCAAAGGAGATTGACTTGGTTCATCATTCCAATCCCCTGTCACCACCCACGGCCACTGCCCCCAAACCTGAATCAGGTCGAAAACCTCAGCCAGGCACTCCGTTCTGGCCCTGTGATGGGCAGCATACAAGTTTCCCACCGTGACTTGACCAACCTGAGTAGCTAAAAACTGCCCTCCATCTTGACTGATCTTGTGCAAGATGCGACTCCTTAGGGTCTTTTTGACCATGGTCATGATTCCACATCGTTTTTCGGTAGGAATAGCATGGACCACCCAACCTTTTCGGAACATGGCAGTGGCAAAATTATTAGATTGTGCTTGATTCATGTGCGTTTCCTGAAGACAAATCACGTCGACATTGTACGTGTCAAGGTGGTTCCCCAAGTTCCACAAATTTTCACGGCCATTGACGTTAAGCTGCAGAATGCGGAGTTCACTTGAGCTTCTTTGACGCTGCCGTGGGCCTGGATTGGGCTCCACTCCTTCCTCGACCAAGTCTCGTTGCCATCCTCCCTCCGATCCTTGGTTTCCAACGCCCTCCTCAGGGAGCTGAACGAACCATGCCTTTTGTTCAACACTTCGCAGCTGGACATTGGCCCTGCTCAATTCCTTAGCGCGTCCTCTGAGTCTGTCCTGCCGAAGTTTATTTTCCATGTGTCTGACTTCTTTTTTTCCCCATTGCCAAATGGCCATCAAGGTTTGCATGGACTCATCCGTTGCCTTAGTCCGCAAAGCACGCCATCCTTTCGCATCTGGGTACCTGTTAGGCTTACACGGTTTCCGCCTAAAAACATCAGTCTCAATTTGCAACCGTTTGCAACCTTGACAAGTAAATCGCAATGGCTGTGTTTTGAAAAGAGTGTCCGACGGTACAAATGATTGCAAATCATGTCCTTTCTCAGCTGCTTCTTTCCGGCGCTGTGCCCGCCACTCAGCGGAGTGCCACCCTGTCTTTTTCCGAGCATATAGCCTGTAAGACATGTGATTTTTATGCGTCCCTGACCGGAGCTTTGCAAAATTTTGTTTCCCCGTGTATCCAGGGGCGCACTTTTTAAGATGTGCGTCCCGGCTTCGCTCCAACTGAGATTGTGGAAGCCAAGGCAACCCGAGCTTACACTTAGCACATGTCCAATTACGAGCACTGAAGGGAATGTCACTGGCCTCAATGAGCGGATACGTCTGTCTACGTTCCGCCACCAAGTGTTTTTGGTCGGGATGAACCTTGTTGATATGTCTAGATTTTCGACTGAAGAAGGTCCCCTTGTTTCTTTCGGACAAAGTATAGTCACACAAATTGCACTTCCACGAATAAGCTTCTTTAAGAGGGACACCAACAGGGGGTTTTTCAACTGCCAAATGACCCGGTGGAGGTTGTTTCATCCACAGCCGTTTCCTTTTGACTTGTCCCGTCTGTGGGATGCAAATTTTGTCCTCGTCTACCTTAGTTGCTTCAATTGCCTTGGCCAGTTCATCGTTGAGATCTCTGGTTAAGGAACTACACAGCAGCAAGCATGACTGAAGAACTCCAACGCTACCCTCTCTCAGATTCTGCATGTTGATATTATTTTGAACCTTCTGGAGCAACCTTAATGCCTCAGTCCATGTATGACATGAAACATCCTCAACATGACTGCCAGCCACTTTGCTACCCGAACTGCTGCTCGGTTCTTGCTCCCCGGACTTCAACGCAAGCAGCGTTTGACCGGACTGAATCGTGTGGACTGAAGGAGCCACTTTGGACTCCGCCCCCCGAACAACCCAGCTTTTGTCCACGTTGGTTTCAACCCTTAATCCCTTGTCCGGAAGTGAATCGGTGGCTTCCTTCAAAGTATGGACCGATGGCGTTTTGACAGAACTCCTTGCAGTGTTTTCTTTGAAAGTGACCTGATTGTTTACGTCCTTAACTGGCTCAATGTTCCCAACTGAGGGCCGTGACTGCAAGGAACGCACTGAGGGTGTGACCCGAGAACTAAGCGCCCCAGAAGCGCTCAGCCTTTTTGCTGCCCCAGCCAAGACACTAGGGTCAGGAGGCACAGTTTCTTGAAGCCACTGGCGGGGTATGTTATGATTTGCCGGTGGCTTGACCCAGGTATAATGTTCGTTTTCTAAGGTCAGAACCAGAACTTTAGCATTCTTCGCCATCTTGGCGCATCCGTGCTGGTCGAATGCGGGCGCACACGTGTGGCGCTTCCACACGTCCTTCTTTGTTTTCCACCAACACACGATTGGCGCTCCCAAAGTTTCAGAGCATGCCTGCAGCAAAATGCCATTAATCCAAGTCGTGGGCAAGGCATGCTTAGTCATGAATTCTTGAATCTTTTGATTGTGAACACTTTCATCAACCGTAGCCTCAGGAGGAACCCCCACATCAGGAATCAAACAAGGCTTGTATTTAGTGAGATTCCGCCGTATGTGAGATAAAGCCTGTGATCGCAAGACACCTCCTTCTCTTTTGGACTCTTCAGGACTAAGCTGGACACCATCCTTGGCCCAAGCCAGAGCAGCTGTAATGGAGCGGTGTCCGCAATCACCGTTACCCTCCTGATTCACTCGCTGCCAACCTTCTTGTTCTAACCGTTGCAACTCGGTTTTGGAGATTTTGAGGCTAGGAGCTTCCACAGGTTCCTTAGCTTTTGCAGCTGCTTTGATGGGACTTCGACTGCGATCACGTGCAGTCTGCGTTTGGGTCTCCTCCTCGTCCTTCTCAGTCAGGGCCACGTCATCTTTAGGCGTAGATGGCTTGGCTTTTGTTTCCAGCGAACTGCCTTGCTCATTATGTCGAGTCCAAGGACCATGTCTGGGAGGTCGAACTGAGAGAGAATCCGGGGTTCGATGAGTCCAAGCGACCCGGGACACCACAACCATCCATTCACCCTCCTTTTCGTCCACATAGCTCCATGGGCCAACCTTGTCAGTCCCAGGAGGTTTGCCTTTCATAGTCCATCGAAAATTGCCTTTCCCTGCCCGCCTTCTATGGACCACACTGACTTCTGACCATTTCTCTTCTCTCAGAAAGGACGTGACATCTTCCCCATCCCAACTTTTTGGTATGCCCTGAACATCCACAGTGAGAAGGGCCTGTTTCTGAGGATCATTTTGGAGCCTTGCGACCCCCAGGTCGTGCCCTCCATTCCTACGATACTTCAAAGATTGCTTTCTTGACTCAGCCAATTGCAGCACACGGGAGTGATAATCTTCACTGGATTCTCCTGATTGCTTTTCCACCCAAAAAACTTCCTCTTGTCTTTGATGAACATTAGTACGGGTCACGAAGATGCCATTTTTCCCAGACCCCCCTTCAAGCTTAGAGGCATTTGCAACAGACATCTTCAGGTGACCAACCAATTGTTCACTACATTTACCCCATTCCCATTTCCAATTGCCTCCTGCCAGGATGGCCACCGGGATTTGCTGCCATGTGGCCAATTCACAAAGGACCTTAGATGCGCTGTCCTCATCACCGTCATGCAAAAAGGCACGCCGATAATGGCTCGGAGCTGAAATTCGGACAAACACCTTTTCTCCTGGAGAGAACCTGGCCAAGTCAGTAGATTTTGCGTCTTTTCGCTTAATCATTCCTGTTTCACTGCCAAGGCGCCAAGTTGCCATGTATTGGAGACTGGCATTGCGTGACCCTGGCCATCTAACTGAGGCACTGAGAAAAGTAGCTCCTAACCCTCCATGGCTTCCCAACCGAGCAACAGTGAGAGGCGTTTGAAGATTGAGGCTCTGCCAAATGTCCTTGATTTCCTGTGCATCCTCCTCGTCATGTACAAACACAAAGTTACCCGGCACCGAAACCCCTTTCCTAACAGCAGCAATCAGAGGGCCTTTGCCGACAATTTTAGGTGGTACAGACCATTCATTTGGCACCAACCCACACGGCAAGGTTTTCTTGATCTCTTCATCCTGTCTCTGTCTCGAGGCGCTTGAGTCATGTGTATTATCATTACTGACAACAACACGTGGTCGTTTAGAGGACCGTTGGAGTTCGTCATTTTTATTGCTTCCGTAGGAGCCATGCCACTTGGTCTGAGGAGTCACCGGTTGATTCAGAGTCCACGATTCAGTCCACGTTTGTTGCTTCCCGGGACTGTCCCTCTGCCATTGTCCTAATGTTGACTTAATTTTTTGAGCCACAACATGATCCTGTTGCTGATTTTCCATGCACTGCTGCAAAACCACCAAAAGTTGCGAAGCAAGCGTCGTATCATTGTTCTTCTGCTTACTCTCAGTCTTCCGAACCTTAGTTGGGGCCCCCGCTTCCCATTTCTGCAAAAAGGACTGCAGCGCCCCAGCCAAGGACCCATCACCCTCAGTGCCCGATGAAGGACGTGTTTTTCGTTTTCGTTTTGTCATATGAGCGCCATAGGCACCCCCTTTCAAAGCTTCAGACCATTCCCTGGACATGGGAACCACTTTGGATTCACGAACCATGCCACAGTAGTCCCGGACCAGGCGGGCTTCACGCGACTTGTTAGTCACGAAGCACTCAAGTTTCCTAGCCCATTTCTTTTTTCCCTTCAAATGCAAAATTCGAATCAGAAATTTACGACTGTGATCCACATGCTTTTTCGGCATCCGTCTTCTTCCGATCCATTTTCCAGCAGTTGCAACATGAAAAAGCCGCCACCTTTGGACAAAACCTCTCATGTCATGTGCAAAACGTGCAGCATGCAGCTCACTGTTTTTCAAACATTTCACCCTGCGTTTTTTGCCTTTCGGCGTAGACCTGGGAGAACCACCAAGGAGGAGAAGGAACCTCACTACCCAATCCACCAGCTTACCCAGGACCCCAAAAAGAAAAATTCCACGTGATAGCGTATTATCCAGCCATCCCTGTTTCCAAGTTTTCCGCCAAAGCCCAGTGGCACCACGAAGTGCTCCACCAGCGCCATCGAAGGCCAAGCTCTGACCATGGCATGCTTCAGCTAAAACTACCGCAACACACTCAGGAACGCCAGTGCCATGGCAGGGAAAATCACCTACCGAACAACTGGGGCTCCTATGGGGGCCATTCAACAACAGGCCAGTGTTTGACAAGGTATCGTCAAAGTATACCTCATGTTCAGGAGAACTTAGAGACTTCGAGTTTGCTGTCACAGGACTGAGCACGGCAAAAAAGCACAGCAGTCGCAAGCAACAGCCAGCCAGCAGCTTATTGTGGGAGGCAAAGCTCCTCTTGTTTTTTTTGTTTTCTCCGTCACGGAGATGAATTCGGAGGACCTTTCAGCAAAGGCCTCACTGTCCTTTGTATTCTTTTCTTCTTTTTTTTTTCTTCTTTTTTTTTCCTTTTTTTTGATTTTTTCCAATTCTTCTTTATTTTACCACTTGACCCAGAGTTGATGAATGCAGGCTTCAACATCCGCCACTTCCATCATCCACTCTCCGGTAAACAATGGCAGTAGAAAAATGTATGAAAATGTCCCATTTCAATCCCCTATCAATGGATATAAATGGACTATTATTATATTTAAAAAAAAACTCATTTATAGTGATGTTTTTCCCATTTATAGTCCATTGATAGATGATTTTGAATAGCCACGCAGGACTCGCAGGACCCATCAATGGGCCTTCCTCAGCAGCTTCAGGCGGCGCAAAGGAGCCGTTCCTGGCATATGATTTATTGAGATTGACCTGAGGCTATTGTCTATTGACTCTATCTGAATCAACATACTTGATTTATATGGCAGTGGGTCAAAACCTCGTACCCCTGGTGAACATCAAAATTGCTTAAATGGATGTTCATCCCACTAAAAATGTATCTATAGGTATTGACCCATACCCATATTGATTTCCTATTGACTAATTGGCAAATACCAAACTTTGGATGAGGACCTGCAGTGTTCAAAGTCGTTTCGTATGTGGACAATTACTAACAAGTAGAGCCCACACAAGGCGGGTGGCCCAGGTTTCCCACAGGAATGGGGATGATGTTGCAGAGCAAATGAACCCCTTGCTGTAGCTCAGTCAAGGTTTTTTCTAGGAAATGGTTGTTGAGTCATCGGATCACTGGTTCACTCACATGCAGTGACCAGTACAGTCTTCCGGTCCTGTCGCTGTTGAATGTGGACACTCTCAGCGTCTGCGATCGAAGCGTCTGGCTGCTTAGCAAAGAGCTCATGATTTAGTTTATAACATTTTATAACTAGTAGGGTATAGAATGGTCAAAACCCAGGTACAAAATGTTATAACCGGCCTTTTATCCTTTGACCACTAGCCAGGACGCACAACAAGGCACGTCTGGGGGGCTTTCGCCAGCTGCAGCATCAAAACTTCCATGGTTCACGGTTTAGGGCCATACAGATCCCCAAAAAGATCCAGATGCAAAAAAATACCTAAACCATAACCACCATCAAGAATAGACAGGAAACATGAGGAAACACTATTGCCGACTATTGCATCTACTTTTGGTGGGGCCTGTAAAAGGTCGTCCATGCCTCTCCGTTGACAGAATTCACGGGGCTAAACACCGACTCAACCTGCCATGATTTGTTTAATCTGAAATGGTGGATATCTGAGGGATCCCAAACTCTGCTGCATTGGGCCCATTGAAAAATGTGTCGATGGGCCCATCTGGGATCATGACCCCAAGCAGGGATGGTTGTCGATGCACAAAACCGGCCAGGCCCAGTGATGACAAAGATTGGATCATCTCACGGTGTTTCTGATGTTTCTGGTTTTTAGGACGTCCAATGTTTTGGAGAAAAAAAATCAATGTGCCTTTCATCCCAACCTGAAACCTCCTTTACCGGGGTAAACACCTTCAGTAATCAATCATGGCATGGTGGATTTACCCTCTGGTAAACTAACATAGCTATGGATAATCACTATTTTTAATGGGTAAATCCACTATTTCCATGGCCATTTTCAATAGCTATGTTAGTTTACCAGAGGGTATGCATAAAGCTCCGAAAAAATGGGGAAATCGTCGAACTGTTCAGGATTTCTCCACAAAACCGCTTAAAATCGCCGGACGAAAACCCCCAGTTTCCAAGCCCCCCGACTGGGGTAGTGACCTTCCGCTTCACGCCTGTCGAAAGATTGAGGCCGTTCAAATCATCCACTGGTCAATCATCATTTCCCTATTCAAATATTGCCGTTTGGAGGGTGATACCAAATTTTCAGTCGGCAAACTACAAAAAAACAATAGATATTATATGTATATTATAGTAAATATATGTAATATATATATAATAAATATATACAATAAATATATATATATATATAATAAATATATATACAATAAATATATATAATAAATATATAACTATATATATATATATTTAACTGTGTGGAAAGACAGCTGAAGGCCGTAACACCTGAAACATCTCGGGAAAGCATCACTAGAAGACAGACTCTTCGCCACAGCTGTTTCCGAACCGAGCGGTGCTTTCGGAATCGGCCTCTGATTGGTGGTCCTGAAACCTGCGTCAAGGCGTCACCGGTACGCGTAGTCCATGCACCTGTGGGAATAAGGTGGTCCATGCTAATCCCTTCACCCGAATATTACCCCCGACACTCTGGGGTTTTAGTACTGAAACCATTCATTTGCGGTCCCTTATTTGGTATAGTTAATCATTTAGGGGGAAGGTAAACCCAGTTGTAAATGGGACAAGCTGGTGCCTGGGGCAGTTGTTTTTTGATGGTAGATATGGTAGTTGCACAATGGTAGTTATATATCTACCAGTATCTGATAAACCTTTCGAATGGGTAGTCCCCCAATTCCCCCTGTGTTGCCAAGAGCTGCTGCTTAGCAAACAGGTTTATCACAAGATGTTCACCTACTGCTACCATCGGGATGTGCATCCCACTAAAAAAGACTGGATTATAAGCCATATACAACTGCAGATATCCCATAGATAAGTGTTTGATAGTTTTATAATATACTATAACCATGAATATTGAACACATTTGAACACGTACTATCTGGGCTGCACCCGCAAGCACTCTCTCATCATTTCATTCGCTTCGTCTTACAACCTAGCCTGCTGCCTTTGTGTCAAGTCGCGTGCTAACCCTTGGATATTTGGACGGCGTAGTCAGGGAGCCTACAAGCTACTCCTAAAAATGGAACCCAAAGTTGGAGTACACCCAAGCTGAACACATTCAGTTTTTGGATGTCTAAAGCATGTTGCAATTGAAGATCTCAACCTTCAAACTCCCACCCAACGGCTGATTTCTGGCATAGATGCAGCTTCAGAAAGTCAACCTTTTGTTCCCCTCGATGCCCAGGCTTCTGCCAAGCTGTCTCCTAGCTGGTAGTCCTAGGTAGAGGCCTGAGCAGTTAACTGCTTGAAACCAAAAAACATCGGAAGCGGTCTGCTGTTCAGCACGTACTCTGTCAATGGAGACTGACCGTCAAGATCATAATTTATGACAACTCCGTCATCTTTGTCCTCAGTCTCAGCAAGCAGCCTTAGCCCTGGCAGCAAGAGGCTGTTGACGCAAAGCGCAATGCGCTCTGGCAATTTGTCTGTTTCCTCGGGAAGCTTCTCAATGCTGATGTTTATCCAGGGAGATTCAAAACGCTCATCTGCGAAGGCGAACATCCTAAATGGCTTGACTGCTGAGCACCAGGTGGCCTCACAGTCAAACTGCAGTTCCTCAGGGTTTTCAGGATTTTGAACTGCCTCGAAAAGATCAGACACGTCCTCCGCTTCAAAGAAACATTTGCTGAAACTCACTTGACCATCGATGGTCTCAGCTGCAAGGTTCTTGGCAGCTTTCAGAAAGGTCAGGGCCTCTACCACATTCTGGAACTCCACTTCGCAGTATAGGGTCACCGATGGAATCGACTTGAGGTCTCCCAAGCCAAGAAACCTCCAGATTCCAGACATGTTCCATGTACCTTCCGGATGTCGCCAGGAGCCTTCACTGCCAAGCGGTCTGCATTCTTCCACTTCGGTCTTCACGGCACGAGAGGCCGCCGTAAGCTCTAGCACTGACTTGTCTGATGAAAGATCCAGCACTCGCACCAAGAGTTCTTTACTCAGGTGATGTAGCCATGGCATGGCGCTTGGGCTCTTCATTAAAGGCTCTTGGTCACAAAAATCCCGGCTATTTCACTTGATCTGGATGTCACGTGTCCCGTTCCAAAATCTGGGGAAAAAACACATGCCATGCAAGGGAGCATCATTGTTCTGACATGTGTTCTCCTCACAAGAAATGGCAGAATTCAGGATGACAACTGATGACAACTGATGACAACTGAACCTTGTGTTGCTTGTTCTCCTGAAAGAGGTGCGGAATTCATCAAATCTTTGATGGGGGGTGGTTTCCACCCACTGAAACCGCCCTGTTGAGCACGAGCATTCCAGCTCTATAGGTAATCCCCTTCCCCTCAAAAACCAAATACCCCCCAATCGAAACCCTCCGTGAGTATTGCAGATGATCGGGAAATGCAATCACTTGACCAGTGTTCAAACCCTTCTGTTATTCCATCATACTGCTCGTTTATCGGGATTCCCTATTGTGAATTGTGGATTTTATATGATTTTATTATACTCCCGAAAATTATTCGATAGTATAATCTCCCAACTGGTCATCAACCAACCATCATTTATCAATATTATCAATGACACATCCCCAATGTATTGGATAGGGCCCCCTGGACGGTCCCCCTGAAATGGCCTGCAGAACTGTCCTCGACCTCCAGAGAAAAAAATCGCGGCTGTGCCGGGCAAGAAACGACCGGGCAAGGGGTAAACACAAGCCCATCACGCATGCTAAGATTATGTGGATACTCCTTCAAGAATGCTTTTTTGCTGTGATACCTAACGGATACGTATTGTTTTGCCTCCAAAAGTTGCGACAAATGGCGTGTTGTCCAACCAAAACAAGGTTGATCTGATCTGATCCATCTCTGTTTGCAATATTCTGTGCAAAAAAAAACGGGGGCAACTGCCAAATGTTGAGTCAACAATCAAAGGAGCAACCTGCCTGATCCAAGTTGTTTAGATGTGTCCAGCAGATCCAAGTTGTTCTTGAATGAAAACTATCCTAGGGCCCATTTGATGTCCCTATGTACTGTTACATTATATACTGTTCATGATCGTATGTGTGTGTGTCTACGCGTGTGTATGTATATCTATATCTATATGTATACTTACATAATATACATCTACAGGAGTATGTGCGTATGTATGATATGCAAGTTGATAATGTCCAATGTCTAATGTATGATGTATCATGTATAGTACGTATAATGTAATAATGTATAATGTACAATGTACAATGTATGATGTATATGATGCATAATATATTAATGTATGTGTACGTGTTTGTGCAAAGCTATGTGTAGATGGACGTGTACGTTTACGTGTACGTGTATGTGTATGTGCAGGTGTTTGGGCATATCTATGTGTATATAGATGTACGTGTACGTGTACGTGTATGTGTACGTGTATGTGCATGTATGTGTGTATATGCGTATATAAATGGGTCTATACACGTATGTACACTAGACCTGAAACACGAAAGACCCTCGTTTCCGTTTGTTGTATAACCCTTCAGTTTCCTCCGTGTTCTGCATCAAACCTCTCATTTGGGTTCCATACCAAATACATTCAAATACAATCAACAATCAATACACACCTTTTTCTTATCAGCAACCCCCCATCTCAATGTCTCACCAATGGATCTGCCGGGCTGCCGCCTGCGGCGGATCAGCAGAGGTGCTCCATGCATCTCCTGGAGGAAGTGTGGTTTATGGTTCAGGCTACATGAGATAACCCTCAGGTGGGGAGCTATGTCTTATGTGGAGCTATTCAGCTATTCATCATGCTTCCTGACTCACGATTCCTGGGATGCTCGTCCAGTGGCTTAGCCATCTGAAATATGATAAGGACGCTACATAGATACTAGTAGCCAGGGATCCGGATCATGAAAGTCAGGGAAAAGAAATGTTTGCGGCAGGCCAAAGAATACAATCTTCACCCGCAAGGGGGAGCTACCGAAATCACCGGACAACCCAAAGATAAGGGTTGAATAGCTAATGGTTTAACACAAAATCATGACCAACTTGTGCGGGTTCCTTGAGTGCCGATCCCACGCGCCCCAGCAGTCCTTGGCTGCTCAGCGGAGGTTTGCCCTTGGGCAACTGGAGCTGTTGCGGCCGAGGACAGTTGCCCTTGCCCTCCGCAGGCGGCGGCGCTCCTATCGGCAGCGCGGGCTTAACCGCCGCCGGCCGCAGCGCGGGCCGCAGCGCCGGCCGCAGCGCGGGCCGCAGCGCTGGGCGGATTGTGGGAGCGACGCGGCTCTTGGCCGTGGGCTGAGCGAAGGCTGGCGAGCCTCCCAGAGACCCAGGGCTGCGGAATCTGGGTGAAGCTCATTGAACTTGGGCGAAAAATGCTGAGAAGTTGATTTTGGTACAAAATTTGTCAAATTTTGTCAAACTTGTAAAATTTCCCAACATGTGTAGGTTGGCAAAAACTCTGACCTGAAGTGGAAACTTGTGACGGCCAGCTGTAAAAAACGCTGCCCCTTCACCTGCTGCGCCAGTGGGCTCAGGCGGGCGATAGGCGCCTCCAAACTGGGATGGGTCTGACCAAATCTGCCCCAAAACACTGGGAACCTTCCAAGCCTTAGGGTTCCAGGATGTTCCAGGGGGTCCAGGTGTAAAAATCAGAGAATAGCCAACGGCTTCGTGACCATCTCAAATGTCAAGTTGAGTCAAGTGCCATTTCAAAGAGAGACCATCAACAAGTCAATATATCCTTGAGTGGTCTCACAGCTTGACGAGCCTGCTGGCCCTGTCAGCAGTTTCATAAAGTGACACAAAGTGATATAGGATGTTTAATAGTGGAAAAACATGTGCAGTACTTCATTTGTTTCATGGTGATGTTGACCACTTAGCTCATCATACACACACCCACACCAACGAAAATGGCAGTTGGCAGCTGGCAGCATCTTCACCCCAACATACCCGGGTCACGTAGGTTTTGGGGGCTCTTTGGCTCCAACAGATTGTGTGTGTGTGTGTGTCTGTGTCTCCATCATCTCTGGCTTGGAACAGCTCGCCCAATAGCCAGTAACAGTTGTAAGCTGATGATCAAAGTGTCAAAGACACTGGAAGTTCTTGCGGCTTCAGTATGAAAATATCTGGCTGTAACGAGCACAAACATCATAGCAGCTGGGATCCTCCAGCCCTCTGCTCGGCACTCAGACGATGTGTTTCTCTCCATTCTGCGTTCAAATTCCAACCGGTCTTCTGTGACCACATTCCTGTCTTGGTGGTCCATCGCTACCCAAATTCCGGCAGCCAGAACAAATCACGGGGTCACCCTGCGGCAGCTTCTTCCACCTTCACCCGATCATGCTCAGCCTCTCTGCATCTCCAGTGCCCCAACAAACTCCGCAGAGGTGTCAATAGAAGTGGTTTTGTCGAACAAATCCATCAAACTCCAGAATCAGGCCATCACAAGGACTCCTCCTCTGAGGTGCCACGAAGCCATGCCACAGCTGAGGCAGGCATGGGCTTGGCCTCACTGATTTTTCTGCTCGGCAGTTTGGGTGAATTTCTATGGAATTCTTAGTTCAGACATTTTTTCGGGTGGAACCATGTGGAACCCAAAAACTTACGAAAAAAACCAAGATATTCCAAGGTTTTAAGGATAACTTTAGGATCTTCGGATGGAAAAAACATCGCTTTCGATCGCAAATTTCCCAGCCATGGCCATGATGACACCGCGGTGTGGCAGGTCGACGGATCGACGGATTGCCCAGGGACCGGGAGGCCGAAGAGGAAGTCATGAGAGGCTCGAGCACCTCGGTGCCATGACCCATGTGGTCCATGAGTGGCTTTCTTTCCCGGTACCATTTGCCTTGTATTTGCAACAGTTTGGAACTAGAACCTGTCGTTTTGCATGGTATTTGCTGCATTTTGGCATGGTCACTTTGCATTTTGCATGGTATTTGGTACATTTGGCCATGTTCGCCTTCCATTTTGCATGGTATTTGTCATATTTTGGCATTTCAACTTCTCATTTGCATGGTATTTGCTACATTTTGGTGCTTCAAACGTTCATGTGGGTCTCTTGAGGGTTCTTTAGGCTTTCATTTGGGGTTTCATTTAAGGTTTCATTTAGGGTTTCATTTAGGGTTTTATTTAGGGCTTCATTTGGGGTTTCATTTAGGGTTTCATTTAGGGTTTCTTTAGGGTTCGGGTTTCTTTAGAGTTTCATTTAGGTTTTCTTCCGGTTTCATGTAGGGTCTCTTATCAGGATTTCATATCAGGAGTTCTAAACGTTCAAATGGGTTTCTTTAGGGCTTCTTTAGGGTTTCATTTAGGGTTTCATTTAGGGTTTATTTGGGGTTTCAGTTTGGGTTTCATTTAGGGTCTCATTTAAATTTAAGGTTTCTTTCGGGTTTCATTTAGAGTTTCTTTAGGGCTTCTCCAGGGTTTCATTTAGGGTGTCATTTAGGGCTTCTTTAGGGTTTCATTTAAGGTTTCATTTAAGCTTTCTTTAGGGTTTCATTCCAGGGTTTCTTATCAGGATTTTTTTAACGATTTCTAAACGTTCAAGTGGGTTCCTTTAGGGTTTCATTTAGGATGTCATTTAGGGTTTCTTTAGGGTTTCATTTAGGGTCTCATTTAAGGCTTCTTTAGGGTTTCATTTATATAGAGTTTCTTTAGGGCTTCTCTAGGGTTTCATGTAGGGTTTCTTTAGGGTTTCATTTAGGGTGTCATTCCAGGGTTTCTTATCAGGATTTCTGTTCACGATTTCTAAACGTTCAAGTGGGTTCCTTTAGGGTTCCTTTAGGGTTTCATTTAGGGTGTCATTTAGGGTTTCTTTAGGGTTTCGTTTAGGGTTTCGCTTAGGGTTTCATTTAGGGTTTCATTTAGGGTTTCTTTAGCGTTTCAGTTTGGGTTTCATTTAGGGTCTCATTTAAGGTTTCTTTAGGGTTTCATTTAGAGTGTCTTTAGGGTTTCATTTAAGGTTTCTTTAGGGTTTCAATTTAGGGTTTCAATTTCCGGTTTCATTCCAGGGTTTCTTATCAGGATTTTGTTCACGATTTCTAAACGTTCCAGTGGGTTCCTTTAGGGTTCCTTTAGGGTTTCATTTAGGGTGTCATTTAGGGTTTCTTTAGGGTTTCTTTAGGGTTTCATTTAGGTGTCAATTTAGGGGTTTTCTTTAGGGTGTCAATTTAGGGTTTCAGCCAAGGTGTCAGTTAAGGTTTCATTTAGTTTTTTCAGAGTGTTGTTTAGGGTTTCTTTGGGATGTCATTTAGGGTGTCATTTAAAGTTTCTTTAGGGTTTCATTTAAAGTTTCTTTAGGATTAATTTATGATTTCTTCAGGGTTCATTTATGGTTTCTTTAGGGTTCATTTAGGTTTTAATGTAGGGTGTCTTATCAGGATTTCTTTAGGGTTTCTTTGGGTTTCACCTAGAGTCTCTCTAGGGTTTCATTTAGGATACAAACAGAACAGAATAAAGCAATAGAAAATGAAAAACAAAGAGACAGCAGTAAAGACAGGAAGCAAAGAAGCAAAGGAGCAGGAAGTAGAGTCATAAAGTATCATGGGACATCAACAATATCTCAAAAACATCAAAAACACAAAGACGGTACAAAGAACAGTTGTGGACTTGCGCGTACCAGCAGTGCTCATTTTCTATGCTGGCCAAAGCTTCTTTTTGTCTTTTCGAAGCAGCTGCAGAGTGACAGACCTGTCAGAAATGTCTTACTTCACACTGACCCTAAGATGTCGATGGACAAACCACGCCAGCGGATTTGCCGCAAATCGCTGGGAAAAAGAACGCCTTCCAATGAATCCAATTGCTGACGGGAGCGATCTCCAAAGGTCAACTTCTGCAGACTGCTTGGCAAAGTGACACCTTCAAAACTCTGGTTGAACAAATTTTCGAAGTTCAACGTTTGCAGGTTGTTTGGCAGCGCCACACCAGCTAAACTCTGATTAAAGACATTTCCAAAGGTCAGCGTCTGCAAGCTGCTCGGAAATATCACGCCTGACAAACTCTGATTGAAGAGGAGTCCAAAGGTCAATGTCTGCAGGCTGCTCGGCAGTGTCACACCCTCCAAACTCCGATCGAAGAGAATTCCAAAGGTCAATGTCTGCAGGCTGCTCGGCAGTGTCACACCCTCCAAACTCTGATTAAAGAGATTTCCAAAGGTCAATGTCTGCAGGCTGTTCGGCAGTGTCACACCTGCCAAACTCTGGTTGAATGGCCCTCCAAAGGTCAGCGTTTGAAGGCTGTTTGGCAATGTCACATTTGCCAAACTCTGATCGAACGAATCTCCAAAGGTCAGCGTTTGGAGGCAGCTTGGCAATGTCACCCATGCCAAGCTTTGATTGAACAAATCTCCAAGGGTCAACGTACGCAGGCTTGTTGGTAATATCACACCTGCTAAACTCTTGTTGTTGAATGAAAACCCAATGTTCAAAGTCTGCAGGTTTCTTAGCACTGACACTCCTGCCAAGGACGTGTTGACATACTCTCCAAAGGACAACAACGTCTGCAGGTTTCTTGGCAGTGTCACACCTTTTAAAACCCTCTTGAAAGTATCGCCAATGGTCAAAGTTTGCAGGCTCAAGGGCAATATCACACGTGCTAAACTATGATTAAAAGAACTGCCAACGGTCAAATTGCGCAGGCTGATTGGAAGTGTCACACCTGCCAAACTTTGGTTAAAGAGATGTCCAAAAGTCAGCGTCTGCAAGCTGCTCGGCAGTGTCACACGCGCAAGACTCTTGTTAAAATCACATCCAAAAGTCAACGTCTGCAACGTCCCTGGCAATGTCACGCGTGCTAAGCTGTGGTTAAACCTGTTTCCAAAGGTCAAACTCTGCAGGCTGCTTGGCAATGTCACACTTGCCAAACTCTTGTTGAAGTCACATCCAAAGGTCAACGTAAGCAGACTGTTTGGCAATGTCACGCCTTTCAATGGTTTATTGAAGAAAGTTCCAAACGTCAACATCTTCAGGCTACTTGGCAATGTCACATCTGACAAACTCTTGTTGAAACCACATCCAAACGTCAACCTCTGCAACATCCCTGGCAATGTTACACCTGCCAAACTCTGATTGAACGAATATCCAAAGGTCAACGTTTGAAGGCTGCTTGGCAATGTCACACCTGCCAAACTTTGATTGAACGAATCTCCAAAAGTCAGCGTTTGAAGGCTGCTTGGCAATCTCACACCTGCCAAACTCTGCTCAAAGTCACCTTCAAAGGTCAAAGTCTTGAGGCTACTCAGCAATGACATGCCTGCCAACTCAAAGTTCAGGTCGTGCACATGGGCCAGTGAAACAACTGTTTTTACAGCATTAAAATCTACAGCAGTGAGCCTGGTCGTCGTCTCGTTTTCTATGACTCTCTGGAAACTTTTGACAACCTCACAGAAATGCATTCGTTGGATGACGAAACTGATTTCCTCATTCTGCACTTGTTGCAGCAGTGGCTTGGAGCCCTCGAGGATATTGCAACCTGACATCAGCAGCAATTTCCTGCCTGGTTTCAGGCCGATCTTCTCTGAAATGTACGTGTATACATGTTCGACGGTTGCATCATCATCAACCTGCAGCTGAAATGTTTGTCCATCCAATCCCTTGATGCTCAATGAAGTCAGTTCCACTCTTGGTTCAGCAGGCGCACATGTCTCCACAACACGCCGCCTCAGATCTGATCTTGTAATTATCTTCCAGGGAAGCTGCACTCACGGAAAAGGGTTTGAAACACGATGTTACCATCATTCCAAAGAATTAGATTTTAATCGAAAGCGGTTTATAAGTCAAACTTCCGACAATATGGTCAGATGAAAAGCAGAGATGGGAAGAGTCAGAGAAGAGAAGGGAAGAAGAAAGAAGATCAAAGAAGAGAAAGCCAGAAGAAAGAAGATCCAGGTGCGTGAAAAGGTAAGAAAGTCGCGCAACATTGTGTTTTTCGGACCACTTTTGGAAGTTGCGATGTCGAAAAAGTGCACGCCGTTGTGGCGCAAAGCACGTTGCCAAGTCAAAATGTACAAAACACACCATGCACGGACCACTTTTGGAGGTTCGGATGTCGAAAAAGTGCACGCCGTTGCGGCGCGAAGCACATTTCCAGGTCAAAATGCTAAAAGCACGACATGCTCAGACCACTTTGAAGGTTCAGATGTGGTTTTTGCGTGGCAGGCGCAAGGGATTGCGCACCTTGCGAAAAGTGAGCAAAGAGTGAGGGTTTTGTAACATGTCCAAAAACGATGGCAGGTGTGGGACATTTGAAGAGGATGTGCAAAGATGCATTTCGCGTGGCAGGCGCAGTACAAGACATGTTCATCAGAGCTGTTAGGAGGTCCGGGCGCTGATTTCCTGAGAGGGGTTGCATTTTGGAGCATCAGATCTTCAAGTTTGCAAAGATGATTTTGCGTGGCAGGCGCAGCACTTCGCACCTGGCATCACTTTTTCGTGGCAGGCGCAGTACTTTAGGCAGATGGAGTGGAAAAATCGCAAAACGCATTGGTACAAGGCCATCAGCGCTGCACTTAACATTCCATTTTTGAAGGAAGTCTCGCAGAATTGCTTTTTTTTAATGTTGTCAACTTGGAAAAATTGAGGAAGTCTCGCAGAATTGCTTCGTTTAATTGAGGAAGTCTCGCAGAATTGCTGCGTTTTTGATGTTGTCAAGCTCAAAAACTGAGGAAAAGTCTCGCAGAGACAGATAGATAGATAAACAACTACATCTACCACTACTACTACACTACTACTACAGCTACAAATACAAATATACTACGCTACATTACACTACATTAATTACACTACAATACGCTAATTACATCTAATTACACTACACTACACTAATTACACTACAACAACAATAACTACTACTACCACAGCTACAACTACAACTACAAGTACACTACATTACACTACACTACACGAATTACACTGCAGCACACTACAACTTCAAATACAACTACCACTACAACTGCACTACATTCCACAACACTGCACTACACTACACTAATTACATTACATTACATTCTATTCCATTCCATTACATTACAAGTACAACTGCAACTGCGACTACAACTAGAACTGCCACTACAGTACACCGCACTACGCTGCAGTACACTATCTAATTACACTACATTGCACATCATTGCACTACAACTACACTACTTTACAATACACTACACTAGACTACACTACACTACACTATACCACACTACAGCACAGAACACTACAGTACACTACACTACACTAATTACACTACACCACAACTACAACTGCAGCTGCACCGACAACTGCAACTGCACCTACAACTGCAACTACAATTACAACTACCACTACAGTACGCTGCACAACATTACACAAACTACATTACACTACAACTACATGTTTTTTACACTACAATACCTTAGACTACCCTACACTATACCACACTACAGTACACGACACTACATTACACTACTACACTACATTAATTACATCACACCACAACTAGAACCGCAACTGCAACTGCAACTGCACTACACTAATTACACTATATAATTACACAACATTACAACTACAACTCCACTACACTACGCTACAACTACAACTACAACTGCACTACAACTACATCCAGCAGTTGTGGTGAGGTGACCACTGCAACCACTCCAAAAAGCACAACTCCAACCACCTTGCGATCCACGAGTGGATTCGCTCTTCCATCCATCATTCACAACAGCCAACCTCTCCTATAGGTTTCCTATTTTTGAAACTTCCGCCACCGCCTTGTGCGGTACTACTGGTAAACACGTCGATTATTGCATGTACAGCAGCAAGTTGGACTATTTCAGCGTGTAATTCGAGAAAACATGTCCGCAATTACCTATGACCCCGAAGAGATAGAAACCCTAGTAACATCCTAGTAAAATCCTAGTAAAATCCTAGTAAAATAGCATCAATTCATGATAATTCACATTCCCAACACATTCCTATCTTTTGAATTCTTTTGGGGCTTGCTATGTAAGGACTATAAAATTGACCAAGCCGAGCAACCGCTTGGCACTGCCATCGGTCTCCATGGGTTGGAGAAGTGGCTTCCCTACTTCCGCTATTTTGTACACCGACTAACCATCATTCCAGTGACTATTGTTACTACATCTTACCATTATCATAATGATAAAGCTATTGAAATCAAAAGAATACTGATCTTGGCCATACCAAAATCAACTGTCTTGCAAAACTTTTTTGGTGTGAGGATATCCTTCTTTGTCCTCCTGATGTTCGGATGCTTCATATACCATGGCTCAGCTGGCAAGGTCTCCAAACACTAGAATTGTTTAGCAAGGTCTAGTAGCAGAGCATCACGGAGAAGTTGAAACCAACACCTAGATCACCTAGTGGTGGGATTCATTCATTCGATTTGTTGCGGTCAAGGCTTTTGGATTAATCTGCACAAATTGTTGCAGGCACTTTGGCCTGAAAGGAGCCTGCGGAAATGCTTTGACGCGAAGCCACATGTGGTGCCCTCACTTTCCTCATCTTTACTCGGTATCATCACTGTTGTACTTGGGAATGTTCCTTCAATTTTATGGAAAAGTTGGAAAAGGATGGAAAAGGGAGTTCCTACAATACAGTGCCTCTAGTTTCTGTCACCTAGCTTACTCCATGGTCCATTTTAGAGAAAAAAATCCCAAGGATGCTATTTGAGATACCAGGTTCAACCTGCAGCAAATACCCAAAGCGATCTAGGCTCCCTGTCATAGGCATCGTTTGATGGCCAAGCTCATGCATCTATGAAGAAAGTGATTGTTTTCGTATTTCACCGTATTTCCTACACATTGATCCATTCACAAACCCTTCACCCAAGGGGCTACTTCCACTCTCAAGGATCCCATTGGGGATGGGTCAATGCCAATTTTCGGCAGTTTTGGAGGGACATCCAGCTATACCAGCTATCTTTATGTTCACAAGCATCCCAGGCTATTGATCCTAGCTGAAAACCCCCCATACTAATCATACTAACGGGACCGTCACCCACGTGTGGTTGGCCGACATTGAGGCCGCATAAGACACAAGATGCTGGATTCTTCCAAGCTTGTCGAAACCACCCATACAATGGATCTATGATCTATGCACCCGAAATGAGACGGGGACTGTCAGGGGGGCCTACCTGGCCTACCTGTTGTCCAAGTCTCTGGGAGGACTGCTGAGCTTCACGGTCTTCTCCTCCTTCTCGTCATCTGCCAAGGCTTTGGTTCTGGCGGCCACTGGGGAAGGCAGCAAGGGCTTGTCGTTGATCATATGCCTCACGACGTACCTGTGAAACGCCAAGGGTCAACCGGTTGGAGAAGTTGATTGGGTGAAAGAAAATACCACGACCAGACTCTGGGAAAGTCATCCTAATTCACCAAAAGGTCGGCCAGCGTCGCAAATTTGAAGATATCCAAGGCTAAGGTATTAAACCCAGCTAGGACCCTCAGATTCCCACAAAGTGGTGCCCTCTACTTTGCTAGTTAATATATGTTAATATAACATAATAACTATTAATAACTTAAGTCATGTGTTGCACCATGAGTCAATGGGCTTCGGGGGGCACTTAGGGCCGGGCCCCAGATGACCCGTGCGCCCCCATGGCCTGTGCGCAGCGATGGCCCGTCTCAGATCCGTCTCAGTTCTACGGAGGGATTTCATCTCCTCGTGCACACGCTCTTCGAAGGCCGCCTCGTCCGAGCCTAGGGCGTCGCCATCCATCTCCTGGATATTTGCGGTGAAGATCCGAAGATTTTTGGGAGAAATATTGGGATTTCGTGATTTGACCATCAAAATCGAGGATTTTTTCTATCACACTGGTGACTATCTGTCAAATAGGCTTTGTTGAAAGAATGGGGAAGCCCCAAAAAATGCAATGTTTGACAAGGAAAATGATGGTAAACCATAGGATTTTGGGGTATCCTATTTTCAGACAAATCCATTTGGGGATGTAAGCAGCGGAAAAACAAAAGTGGATACAACTAACATAAAGCCAGGACAAAATTGGGGATGAAACCATTAGGATTAAAAGCTGGGAACTCATCAGCAAGCACGGGGATGAAAAAAATTATGAATACCTTCAGCTTCCAAAGGATTTGGGTCGCCACCCAAGCCCGAAGCCATTGCATGAACTGGCACTGTACCACACTTGAACCCCCAAAAAAAAAGTCGGGCAGTGTTCCTCCAGCTTGCCACCAGTGAGTGACCCATGTCGCTCCAACTTCACCTCCAGGTTCTCGAAAATGCTCCGACATTCCTCCTCCGTGCGCGTCAGGGTGACGTTGCGCTGCTCCTCCTCCGCTAGACGTGCGTGATTCTCGGTACCTGGGCCCGACATGACCAGCCGGCCCCACCCTGATATGCGTCAAATATAGGGGAAAAATGGCGATCGTCACCTGAAAATATGGAAATTATTGGGAAGAATAGGTGAAGGATGGGGGTGTCACCCCTCTGGTCAACCGAAAGATCAAGCAAACAACGAGTGGGCAAAGGATACTAATGCACAACCAGGTTCTACAACCCAAGACACCAATCCAAGAGAACCGACATTAAATTGGAACTGCTGACTCAACCGCTCACTGGTTCTCAACATCTCAAGAACCCTAAGCAACTTGAGGCCAAGGGGTAAATGGCGAAAGCTAGCTGGCAAGGTAAAGGGAGAAGGAGGCAGGTGTGGCGAAAGCATGGTGTGTGAGGAATGGGGAGATACGTGGAGATTAAGACACAAGTTGTTGGAGATGCGAAACAACGGCAGCCTTTGCATCGAAGATGACAACAGTGACATGCTATCGAAGCTGCGGTGATTATGATGGCGTGCTGTGGACGATCCTGACGATGACTGCGACGATATGGTGATGGTCCAGGGGTGGATTGAGCCACAGCAAAACTTCTGCCAAACAAGCCAGCCGGGGGACTAATTAACTGCTAACTGTTAAGCTTCACGCAATTGGCGATTCCAGCCCCTGCCAATACCTTGCTAAAGAGGGGACTTCAGCTAGCAGAAGCTAGCTTTCGTGACAACACTCATCAGGATGTTAAATTTCTGGTCCCAGAAGTTGTGACGCACAAATTTCGTGACATCCTCAACCAAGCTGCTCTCTTGCCTCAAGAGCTCTTCTTGTGCGACAAGTTCCTGTCGCAAAATCGCCATCTCCTGTGGAAAAGAAACAAAACGTCGCCGATTAAATTGATTAAATCGTTGAATCTCAATCATTTGAACATGTTGCGGGTCTCAATGAATCAGTAGAATCTTGAAAATTGATATGGCTGCTAATCCATACGCATGCTTGTTTGGTCCATTCTTCCATGCATCTTGCGTTCTGATCCAATCCTTTTCCTTTGGTTGCTAATCGATTTGAAATGTCCAATCAGTTTCGGCAGGGAGAGTGATGGGGCTGGATGCAAGGCTCAAGCAGAGATCGAATCATGGTGACATCTGCAGTTGAGATGTGGCACACAGCCGCTTCGACCTTCTGGGTCTGGGGACATACCTTATGGTTACCCCAAAAGAGGATGACTTAAGTGACTTCACTGCAAATAAACATAAAGCATCCAAATCTTCCAAAATTATCTAAAATCCATTGGGCTGGCCATGCCATTTTCACCCAAACCTGCAGACCCCCACTCGTCTCCTCCTCCATTTTCGCCCTTCCCTCTTTGGCTTGGAGATGTTTTGCTTCAGCAGCCGCCCCATGCGCCTCGGCCTGCTGACACCGTTCCTCCCAGCGCTGCCGGTCTTGGACCTTCGCGGCCACATCCTGCTGCAGCGACTCGAGCTCTTGCGCTCGCTGCTCCGACTGCTGGTAGGCCAGACCTAAATTCGTGCGCCCATGTCCACAGCCACCATGTTCAGAGGCAACATGGTTGGAGAGCACCGGAAGGGAGCGTACACCATGCTTTGTATGATACTGCACTGGTTACCATCCGACTTTTTGCATTTTTTTGCCTGCCAAGCTGCCCTGTTCTTTGTGGACTATCAGCTCAGCTATCTCAGCCTTGAGGCGCTGCTGTTCAATGTCGGCCTCTCCTCAGTCAGGAAAAATGCTGGCAAATCAGTGGTTTCAACTAGTGTCATTGGGTTGGTTTGACAGAACTGTTGACAGAACTGTTGCAGTCCCATCCGGTTTTATCAGAAAATGGTGGTCATACAGTACCTAAAGAGAGAGAGAGAGAGGGAGGCATGTGTACAAATGAAAAAAATGAATGAATAAATAAAAATAAATACTGTAAATAAATAAATAAATAAATATATATATATTGTGTGTATATACGGATGTGTATTATATATATACACACATACACATATGAGATACATGTATATGGTACAGTATATGTTTCCATATGTTTCCCATATTCTCCCATGCCATAAGTACATCTAACCAAAAACAAATCCCAGTCTCTGCTGCGCTCATGATGTTCCTCTTCCAGTCTTCCAGCCCAGCTCAGGGTTTCTTCTTGCACCGAACGTTCCTCTTCCAACTGGCGTAGACTGGACAGGTGAGCGTCCTGCAGGCCATGCCAAAAAATTCTGCCGCAGTATTAAACCAACTTTTTACCACCATGAGTTCTGGCCACAAAGTAACGTCCAAGGAATTTTCTGATCGGAAGTGAATAAAGTGATTGAGACTCTGCAGCCCCAAGTGGATTGAGTACCAGTTATCTACAACCCCACTAGTCGCTCTATTTCAAGGCAAGGCCGATGCCGTGGCGGTTCATGCGAAGCGGCTAGTCAACTTACTATTCCTGGTAAGTCATTACGGGGTCATCGTTTTGGGTTTGCTACACACAAATCCCTTTGTCAAACTGTAAAATTCCAAAAAAACATTAGTTGTGTGCTGGTTTTGTTCGTTCCCCACCAGTCCGGTGAGGGTTGTTAGTTTTTATGTCAGCTGCCCTTCTCTTTCTTCTCCTTCTCCTCCTCCATAACTCAACTGCAAGCGCTAGATCACAGCGTTACCCGCCGGACACAAACAGCAAGCTCAGGAGCAGAGTGATCCCCGCCGGACCTCAACTGCAAGCGCTAGATTGCAGTGTTCCCCGCCGGGCCCGAACAGCAAGCTCAGGATCAGAGTGATCCCCGCCGGGCCTCAACTGCAAGCGCTAGATCGCAGTGTTCCCCGCCGGACCCGAACAGCAAGCTCAGGATCAGAGCGTTCCCCGCCGGACCTCAACTGCAAGCGCTAGATCGCAGGGTTCCCCGCCGGACCCGAACAGCAAGCTCAGGATCAGAGTGTTGGCCGCCGGACCTCAACTGCAAGATAGATGCCAGATAGAATGCCAGAATAGATGCCAGATAGAATGCCAGAATAGATGCCAGATAGAATGCCAGAATAGATGCCAGAAACAATGGCAGATAGAATGTCAGAATAGAACATAGAATAGATGTCAGAATATATGTCAGACACTGTCAGAATATATGCCTTGAAATGCCATGATGGGGATCACTCCAAGTAAAGTAATTTTTGGGTTTGTCTTAAAGGAGGGTGCCCCAAAATCCAATGATAATGTCTTTCATATATTGGACACACCTAATTTGACGGATGGAATGAGGTTCAATAGATGAAATCCTCATGTTGATGGTTGAATCGGTAAAATCCCCAAGTGCCATCATGTCATACACCAAGCTCATAGTAAAACCTTATATATAAACTTATAAATCTCAAAACCTCATGTTGATGGTTAAACCGTTAAACCCTCTTTGTCACTTGGAAAATGGAAGGGATGACTCGATGACTTCTGAACCACCGCGACAATCCTCATCCAGCCGGCATTCCTCCTCCAAACTCAGTCGCTCTTGCAACGCCAGCGCTACCTCCGAGGCCTCTCAAGAGTCTCCATCGCGATGCGGACAGTGGTGAAAAAAATATGCTAAAATCCTCATCAAACCTCCAACATATGAAAGTCAAGAGGGATTGAATAAATTTAATATGTGTTAATCATCTCAAAGATTGTTGACTTCTTGAACGTAAAAATATCTGAAGGCACCTCTTAAGATAGAAAGGCAAGAAGTCTCAATGACAGATTATCTTCGCTTGAAAGGAAGGACTTGTTGCCCAGCGGATGTGGTGCTCTCTTTGAAGTCATTCTGACTTGAAGCACATTCTCTGAAGGTTCCTTGTTTTCTTTCCTTTTTTCTTTTCTTTCCTTTCCTTTTCTTTCCTTTTTCTTTTCTGTCCTTTTCTGTTCTTTTCTTGTCTTTTCTTTTGTCTGTTCTTTTGTCTGTTGTTTTCTGCTATTTTCTTTTTCTTTTGATCGTTATTGTCATTGTATTTTTTCTTTTTTTATGTCTTTGATTTTCTTTTCTTTTCTCTTCTCCACTCTTGATTCTTGCCCACACATAGAGTATACCGACCGGGTGAAAATGGGACGTTAACCCGACAAACCGCCTGGTGATTGAAACAAGAGGCCATAGGTTTATTGAAACAGCAGAAAGTGCGGTTTAAAACCAGAGGGGGCCGTCAAAGGATTCAACGGATTGGTGAAGGGATGGTTAGAAACACCATTTTGGAGAATGATTCTCAATCGAAAGTTGCAAGTCTTCAGTGAACGGATCCAATGGAATCCTGTCCAATTTCTTCGGGTAAAACATCGACCTTTATGAGGTTGAAGGAAGTGGCACCCAACACTGCCTGCCCAATTCTCGGGAAAATTTCGAGCCATCCTAAAATAAAGGTGCCCCCAAATCATCCATTTTAATTAGTAGGATTTTACCCCCATTTATGGAACCCCCATCTTGAACTGCAAAGCGCTCCAGTGCTCCCGGCAACAGCTCTACATCTGCACCAAGCCTCAGTCATTTGGCCCATCTCGGATTCCTGCAGTTTCAGACCTCGGTGCCGGGCCAACCGAAAAAACCTGAAGCTCGCCCAGCACCAGGACGGGATCCGACTGGAACTTGGGTCCATGACTAAAATGGGTACAGTACCCAAAACTAGGAGTGCTTACTGCAATGACTAGTACATCAGCCAATCGAAATGTTTGTATTTTGACCCTCGCCCACATCAAAAAAAGTACCGACTTTTGGTGGGAAGATTGGTAATGCCCACGCTGGTGAGCATGATTTCCAAGAATTAGTTTGAGGGAACATTTTACAGGAAGCGCCCTTCATGACCATGGTACAGACCTATCCTTTTCCTACGTGTCCATGGCTAAAAACCTACGGTTGTTCTGTATATATTCCCTTGACATCCCAATCCCAATGATCAGCCCGGCAGCAGAATAGTTTTAGGTCGAGCCACGTGCACTTTGCTCGGCAAGCTCCTCTAATGAACAGATCTACCCACCATCCCCAAAATTTGTTGCTTGACTCTGAGAATCACATAGAATCACTACTTTTGAGATGTGGTCTTCCAACTTCCAACTCATTGCAGGGTCACACTACTAGTTGGAGCAGTATTCTAAAGCAACTCACGGTAGTCAAAACCTTCCATATGCCACCTCTCTTCCTATCTATGCTGTAAGACGCTTTTTTTTCGACAGAATCTCCCCCATCTCCCCGTCTCGTTCCTCCGTCAGGGCAGCGATCTGCTCCGACCGTGCGACATCGGCAGCCATCTCCGCCAGATGCTGCAGCTCCTCTTGGGCTGTCACCAAGCTACTCTTGGCTGCTTCCACTTGAGATAACCTGAAAGACACCGGGGAAAACATGGGAAAACAACAGACCAAAAGTGGCTGATACCTAAAGACAGCTGGCAGTTCCGATATTAGTTTGCCACGGGGAACTCAAAGACTATCTACGGAAACCTACACCTCTCGCCCAACAAGCCAGCAACTTAACTCCCCCTTCCTTCTACGATTCTGCAACCTGTGCAATGTTACAAGGTCAAATCCAAAACAACTGGAAATTCTGCAAAGACACACTGCCGATACCTGCTTGTCTTCGGGCTCATGGGCTACCTGCTTGTCCTCGGGCTCATGGGCTACCTGCTTGTCTTCGGGCTCATGGGCTACCTGCTTGTCCTCGGGCTCATGGGCTACCTGCTTGTCCTCGGGCTCATGGGCTACCTGCTTGTCTTCGGGCCCATGGGCTACCTGCTTGTCTTCGGGCTCATGGGCTACCTGCTTGTCTTCGGGCTCAATGGGCTGATTGGGTTCACTTTCAGCTCCAATGCTCCCTTTTCTCTTCCGATGCTCAAGGACATGTCCTCATGCTCAGCTACAAGAAGCCATGATTCAATGGAAGTTGATTTCCTATACAAGCGACTGGCCAATGCAACAGCGGCATTCGTCAACTTGAGTAGTTTCCCTGGTCTTGTGTGTCCATGCGAAGGCGGTATGAACCAAGAAAAGCTCCGCTCAAATGTTGGTAGTACATCCTTTCCCCTCGGTATCTGAGAAAATCTCATATGATGTTTACTTCATGTTAGTTTTTTGCGCTTTTCTTCGTTTTTACATACCATTCTTTTTCAGGCATGAAACCCCTCCCAAGTTTCAGCCACAGCGGCGGCTGGATTTCATGGCCACTGAATGCATCTCGCTCAAACGATTCCTGGATAACTCACGAGGTTTTTCATGGAGATGCCATGCCGTCCAGAAACTTTAGGAATCGATTGGCTAAGTTTCTAGATTTAGACGTCATACTTACAAATTGTTTTTTTAAGTCAGGACATGCTTATAATTGTATATGGAAGTCCGTCTTTAAGTTGTTAACCCCTTTTGTTCTATGGGATAGCTCAAGATCTTTTCAGGAGGGAAGGGATTGCAAGCCGTGTCTTCTAGGAGACTGAAACCCCACAGTCACTTTTCTTGGGTTAAAGAAGTACCCCACAAAATAAGTTTCAGTATATCTACTACTGGTATACTGTATCAAGGACTTACAGGCCGATATACATAGTGGTATTTTCGTGATGTTATCATAGTAAATCAAGGTATTATGCACCATGGAAACATATAATATATTGGTTGAAGTATGTTTGTGGGACGTGTATCTCTCCTACTATGCAAAATGTCAAGGATTGAACCTCTGAACTGTCTAATTTTGCTGCGTACCCCCTTTGACGAACAAAGTTCACATTTTTTTTGCCATCCCCTATGTAATTTATCAACCAGGGTTTCTTGAACCCTCTATGAATGAAGCAACCAATGGAAAGAGGATACATCACATAGTCTGACACATCTGCATCAAATCTTCATAATTGGTTACTACCAGTTGGTTGACATGCTCTGCATTACCCTCTGGTAATTTAACACAGCTATTGAAAATGGCCATTTATAGTGGATTTACCCATTGAAAATGGTGATTTTTCATAGTTATGTTATTTTACCAGAGGGTACCATTTGTGATTGTGACCACTTATCATTGCAACATGTTTGCGGATAGCCGATAACAGGTTGTTACCATGAAACTGGTTGGTGGTTGAGCACTGGAAAAATATCCTCGTCATTGGGGATCGTCAGCCCCAATATCGCATGTCTATTTGAAATCACCAACCATGTTTTGCGTGATGATAAGGTGTGACATGATTATTCCTATTGGTTGCTACAATAGTGTTCTTACCATTGATTACTTTTGCTATTGTAGCAAACAGCAAACCCCCAAGAAAAAGATCGACAAATAAAATCATTCGAAAAATGGTGAAAGATGATCAAATGGAAGCTAAAATCGACATTTTCATGGTGGTTTCCATGGGTTTTCCATGGTTTTCCTATAATTATGGCGACGCATCGCAGCATCATCCGCTCCCCGTCCTGCTTGCCCGGCTCCGCGCCGCATGGCCCGAGTGGCCGGACAGCGAGGCCCGTGGCGCCGACGGCGACAGCACCGAGGCCCGCGGTGCAGCCTGGGGTGATTCATGGTAACCGATAGTTATTTAGAAGGTGATGGTGGGTATCAATGGGTATAAAATAGTCATTTAATGTTATGTAATGTTTAATGTTATATTTATATGAATTTATATGTACGTATGTAAACCACTTCCTAAACGATACTTAGCTAACTTACATCGGAAATCCTCACTACCGACAGGGGACGACCCTAATTTGGGCCTGACATGAAAATGAACAGGTAACCCTCGGGATAAAATGGATTTGAAATGATTCGCCTCTGGTAGTTGAACTATGCTCCCAGTGAATTTTGCTGGACCTGCACCTCTCTTTTCACCGGTGTTTTTCATGCCTAGGCGCATTGGTTTCGTCAGGTTCCACGGTTTCCACGGTTTCCACCGACTCCACATGGATCTGGATCTTTGCATCACCCTGGTGGGGCTCCTTAGGCGCATCTCCTTCTTCGTTGATGGGGACCATGGCTTCCCATCGATATAGAATACGCTCCAAACAAACAAGGCTTGAAAATCATCCCTTCCAACTTTCGATTTCCAGCATATCAACCATTTGTAATTTTTAGACCATCAATCAATCAGTCATGTCAATCAACCAACCAATCAGTCAATCAATCAGTCACATCAACCCCACTGGTGAATTTTCCAGCACACCATGTTGGATTCTCGTGAAGGTGCATTTGATATGCTGCTTGAACTGCTGACACCTGGGCCCAAAGACTTCACAGATATGGCGGATCTTGAGCCGATGTGAGTATGTGTGCAGTGTGGATGGGGCCACGGGATGTATTGCATATATCTAATTATATTACATGACTATAATTATACTTACACATATACATATACATATACAGATATGTATATTACAGTATAGAGAGAGAGAGAGATTGTTCCTCTCTGTCCGTTTAGGTTTCGCTTGGTCCATTTGTTTCGAGAAAACTTAAGCATCCAGGCATCCAAGCTCGGGGGATATTTGCACTCAGGATCCAATGAAAGGTTGCTCCAACCCATCATAGGTACGGTATGGATTTCTTCCCCCGCTTGATCTGCCCATTTCCCCCCTTTCTCTGGGATCTCTTGGCTCAAGCTTCTCATTGCAGGTTGGACATTCATGAAGAACCAACCAATGAAACATCTTGAAACCACTGACCAAGTACATTGGTTTATATCCATTGATATTCCTATTCATTTTGTCTACATTGCATATTCCCAATTAATGTTGATAGATTCCTCACTTGGAGATTTCGGAAAAATATCCCAAATCATCCAAATTAGACCAGTTTTAAACTGATGGTTTCGGGGATCACTTTAGGAAAACCTCACCAAAGCCACATCTGCTCCCACCTCTTCTCTTGGGCTGTGACGCCTGATCACTTGGAAACAATCCCGCAACATCTTTGGGAAAAGGTATAAAATTGAAAAACATTTTGGGATACATCATTTGGGGGTCAACATGTTCAAATTGATGGAGTGTTATAATTTATCCAACTTGTTTAAATGACACAATGCCAAAAAGATTACAGTATATACTGGATATTATAGAATCATATAGAATCATAATTTAGCCAATTTTGGGGATATGTGTTTTCTTATATATTGACCCATCCCGTTTGAGTAATACATAGATCCAAAATCATATGTTGATTTATGGGTCCCCAGGCCTCTCAGAGGAGACGCATAGCCTGACCCATTCCCGAGCCCCGCAGCCTCAAGTGCATAACCCCCACTCATCCGTGGATGTTGCTTGATCTACTCATGCGAGAGCATTTTCTCAGGCGGGAAATGATGTTCACAGCCTGTTGGGATAGTCGCGTCAGTACTGGGATGGGATGGTTTACTCATGTTTACCAGAGATGACCCAAATCTGCAGTCCTTTTGAAGCTTGAATCTTGACCCCCATGACGTCACGTAGGTTCTGTGATTTGCTGCTAGCATGACCTTCTACGCAGGTTCTTCAGATGTAGACACCTGGGACCATCCTGCGGTAGCAGTCTTAAGCTCAAAAATAGTTGGTTGGTGTCATCCACTATTTGAAACCACCAGCCAGTTACGATGGTATGTCCGTTTCGCTTCATGTCTGTCCATTTGCAGATGTGTCGTTGGAGCACAAGGGTCCTGAGTTGCAAAGGGCCTGCAGGACAGAAACTGACCATAATGGCAATTGAAGGCAAGTGATCAGCGAGGCTCAAAGGTGACAGCTGCCAAGCCCGGCAAACCTCATCCGAAGACTATGTTGTCTTGGCTTGGAGGACACATATAAGAGCAGGTGGAATCTCCAGTGATCTAGCATGACCAGCTGTCACTAAGAAAAAAGATCTATCCCAAAAGGGTTTTATTCTCCAGCCCACCAGATCCGACTACCAAAGGCATCTTATGGGTCGTCGGAACCTCCGCAGAAACATGCTTCAAAAGTTGCCCATCTTCACTATTCAATGGACATATAATGACATATATACAGCTGATGTTTATCACAACATTGTTACCTTGGGATCACCCGATCGACTCCGCTGTGTGCCTTTTTTGATCCTCTTCTCGCCTCTTCTCCGCTGGAAGCAGGCACATCATAAGGCCCGGGAGAGTACAGCAGGAGAAAATAATCTATGGCAAAAACAGCCCTCAACAACCAAGGTTCTTCCCCCTCCCACCTTCGCTCCCCCTGGAGGCTTCCCAAGATGCGCGCCAGCCCATGGTCTTTGCCAACGCATGCCAACGCTGTCGGCCCCACAAAGTCCCTCATCGACCAGTTCCTACAGCCCCTCCTGGGTGACTTTCAGGGACCCCACTCACAAGAGCCGAGTGGCCGTCAACAGCACCAAACCCTCAAGGCTCACCTCAGGAAGCCCGGCTCAAACTGGGCCAATGAACCAATCATTGGATGGTCATGAATAAAACGCCCTTAGCTTGTCCAATTTGGGTGTTGCGATCTGTGGCCAAGCCGTGAACCAAAAAATGCAACCTCATGCATGGTCCAAGAGTGAATGTTCGTCCAGGGTCTTTGTCCCCATCAGTTCTGCTTCGGAACCCGTCAATGGCCGCCGCCATGGTGAGGAAACTTTTTTCCAGAGTAATGGTGGCTGAGCAGATGACTGACAAAGTTTCATCATGTTAGGAACCCCAAAAAATATACAGTATAAGTTTCTTCCTAGTACTTGATGTCATAAATGATCTTTACTGCGCAGTTTCCAGGTTCGCAAATGTTCCATCAATCTATTGTGGAGGTGTTGCAACCAGAATGATCAGCTGCAGGTTAAGTGGTGATTTAGGGATGCGGCGCTGTGGGCTCCTTGGGTAATCCTTGATTAGGACGGTTGTTGGATTCCATCGCCGAAAAAAAATACTGAGTATCTCGAAGTACCCATATCCCTTGGTTTTCTTCCTCGAGTGGATCCGGAATATGGAGGGCTGTTATCTTTTATACATAGTTGCGGCGACCACAGTCATAAGATAGATGATCACCAAAGTATGATTCCTCAGAAGCTCCAGCGCAACACTCGGCTCCAGCACCAGTTCCATTGTCAGCCCAGTGACCACAGACATCAAATGGAGAAAAAAGCCTTGGTTTCAACGTGAAGAACTGATCTGTCACAACATCTTCTCAGAAGGCAACGCCATGTAGCATGCTATGTCCGACTTTACCACTTTCTACACATTACTTCAACTGTTCACTTCATCCAGCACCTCTGACGCCATCCAAACCCGCCACATCCACTGGTTCCAAGTGACCGGGTGCATGTTTGCCATAGCCACCCGAGGCATAGCCCATTTGATGGGCTATACGACCCACGGCCAAAACAATCTTGGCACGGCACAGGGAGGTGGGACTGAAGTTAGCAAAGAGCTGCGGGGATGATTGATCTTTGGGGGATGATTGGGCAGCCAAAGTTTCGAAACCGCCACTATTGCAGTTCTAAGTTCTATAAGAGTTTGAAAAGAATGGTCACAAGGACTGTGCTAAGCGGCTACTCAGAACGGGTAGGCATAGCTGCGATGATTCCATACGTCGCAAAAATCGCATCACTGGTTGCAACATGTTGGAACTACATTAACCCCCGAAAGATAGAAAAGTAACTTCCTCACCCAACACAGCATCCCACCCATCCATCAACTCACACACCTGAACTTCAACACCAAGGTGCAATCAACACAGAGGTGGGGATGGTGAAGACTTTTCCAGCAAAGGGGACCAAAAGCAAGAATCCTTCAGGGATAATCCCCATGGTGACATTCTAACATGGGGAGTTTATATTATATATATATATACTGTGTTATTAATATCATATATGATAATATATGGCATATGGGGATTGTTTATTGGGGATATCACATCTGCAAAATAGGGGGATTGCTGGTGAGATTAGACAATACTGCTATTGGAAGAAAATGGGACAGGTTTCAGGGACAATTTGCTGTAGACAATTTACTGAGTTTACAGTTGTACGGTATCAAAAGTTGCCTGCTGGCTGTCAAAAATGGGGGCTAACCCCTAAACCCCTCTACTGATTTTTCGCAACCAGGTGCCACAAGACATCTACTGCTCTAAAAATACTGATCATCCATCATCCAAGGTCCAAGGTTCACAGGATAGGATGCTGCTGTACGAGCCGACCCTCCAGCTTGGGAGGGTGTACTCGACCCCCAAAGATATGGAAATCTAGAATGGTCGAAGTCCGGATACTGCTACTGATTCCGATGATTGCTGGTCAAATGTCGACCGTTGTTGATTGCATTGCATGGCCGGAACATCTGCTTGACATCTCACCGTTACCGCTTACATCTCTCTGCTTGCTGGTCACGTTCATATCCGAATGATTGCTGGCAAAACTCTGCAGTTTTGTTCTACTGATATTTCCATAGTTTCATTGTGGTGAATATTCTTACAATCAAATGCGCTTGCATGCGAGACATCGTTCCATTTACTACTCTTGGCTTGGCAATGATATCCCGACATGGCTCACCTTCAATAGCTCGTCATGATCTTCCAGCCTAATCCTTCCATTCATGGCTACAATTTTCGCCACGAACTCACCATTCACCATGGTTCACCATGTCAAACCCTTCAAACATCGTCCATCTTCCCAGTTCTCCCAGTTCTCCGGTCACTTCATCATCCCCAACCGTTGCCGACGGCCCCAACCCCTCCTGCAACGTTCTCCACGAACTGGCCCAAGGAGCGGTTCGCGCGGTTGTACTCACCAATGCCCCCCTCCTCCTGGCACGGAAAAAAGCAGCCCTGCTGTACTGGTTTTGTTCAAAGAAACATCGGCCAATTGGAAAGTAACAATTCATGATTACAGTCTATAATAGTCACATTCAATAGTCGTTTATAACTATTATATATATAATAATAGACATATCTACCCAATCTTCGGATTCCATATTGAATTTTGATGAATTCTGATGGTCTTTCCATGGGATACAAAAATGTCCAACCTTCCACCCATCACCCATCATGCTGCCTCCAACACCACATGCCTGGGCAGGAGTTTCTCTACAAAACCGCCAACAATTGGATTCCTCTAAAATTTCAAGAGAAGAACTCCAAATCCATGCAAATCCCCTGGGGAATCGTCATGTTCGATCATTTCTGCCATGTCCGCCAATGTCCCACCAAAAATGTCAACCCAGTTGAACCCATCGTTTCATGCTCTATCCCAGCATCAACAGACCGCATTGGGTGAAGCTCTGCCGCCCTGCCGCCCCCATGGAAGCCCAACTTGTTGGAACCATCGTCCACCGTGTAGATGAACATGTTTGCCCTAAGGTTGCCTGCAGCTGGTCGCTTTCACTACCCCAGTCAAGGGTCCCACCCAGAAATTTGTGGGTAAAAAAGCAAGACAAGTTTTGAAACGAATTGAAATCACCCATCTCTTTACATCCCTGTGCTTGGGTTCACATCACCATTTTGGCAAAAGTCTCCGCCACGCCTGCATCACGCTTCATCACCTTTTCTTTGTAAAACATGGGGAACCTGGGCAAAAGAATGGAGAATCTACCTAATCTACCATGGATTCTTGTGGAAACCAAGAAATCTAAGCGATTACCAACAAAGGGAATCCAAGATGGCAATAGAAAGCCCCAATGTTTCTATGGGAAAAAGTATCTAAACATGGATAGAAGATGATAGAAGTCTGTTTTGATCCACTGGAAATGACACCACCGTTTTTCATTCTCCAGTGCCAGGTTAGATTGCTGGTAGCGGGGACGACTTCAGCACAACTGGGGGATGATTGGTGATATTCATCAGCGAGTATCGGATTACTTGGAAAACTAATGAAAACTAGACGGTTCGGCAACAGGTACCACTGATCCACTGGTTGGGAAAATAGGCCGGAGAAGCCTGTCAATCTACACCAACTATTCACCTGACGGCACTAAAATCCTGAAAGTTGGTACCGCTACAAAGCCCCTAATCCAGGTTTTGTTGGTGAACATCGCCGGGTGAAGCTTAGCAGCAAGTTCACGAACGACACCACCACCGAGAAGAGCCAAACGGCCAAGTACAGCCAGCCATAGCCGTCCTGCCCGAGTTTCGAAGGGTCCAAGTCAGTCTGTCCCAGAATTTCACCTGGGGTGCTCCCTTTGTTTCTCACAAGTGGATGAACCAGCAACACATTCATGGGTAATTATTCATGTAAATCAGCACCAATAGAGTTATACCCTTAGGGATGACCTCAAGGAGCATCAGACCCCACCACATTATTTTCGGGATGAACTGCCCCATGTTTGGTTTGTTACTGGGGATGGTTTACTACTCGCTTTCACACATGAACTCAAACACTTGTTGATGAAACGTTCTAAGCCAAGAGAATGCCAGGGATCCAGGACTTACCTCCCACCTGGAATCCAACTGACCATTGTTTAAGCCTCTCTGGAACTCTATATAAGTTGCACAGGAAGATCCCCGTGTCTACTGTATCTCTTGAAAATGTGGACTTTCCAGTTTGCCATCTTTGTTTGCCCTCTCATTCGACCCGAATGAGAATTTCTTCCACTGCTTCTACGTTGCTCTTCCATGATGTCTCCATTATATATCTAGGGATAGTCAATAGATATCAATAGAACATCCATCAATAGAAAATATGGGATCTGGAAATTGAGCAATGGAAAATCACCATTTCAACTCAGTACATCAAACTCAATGGGCCATCTCTTCCATACCTCGTAGCATCGGCGTCTCGCCTCTTTCCCGAAGGTCTTCAGCTGGCTGTCATATTTGGCGGTGGCACCGAACCTTGGAAAAAATCCATCGCCCTGGGACTCAGCAATTGAAATGGAAGTTGTCTGACAATTACCATCTGGTTATTTAACATAGCCATGGAAAATCACCGTGTTTAATAGATAAACCATCTATAAATGGGCCATTTTCCATGGCTATGTTAAATAACCAGAGGGTAATGGTGGTCTTATGAAAACAACACTTGATACAAATTGAGGAAAGGGGCTTATTAAGTCTGAGAGCATTTTCCCCGAAAAAAAAACGGCTATTGGGGAGTCGGAGTTATACCCCAACGATCCCCAAATTTCAGACACACACCTATGGGTATAGGTCAAAATTGAGTACCCCAAAATGTGTATGGCTTTAAACCGAAAATTACCAAAAATTGCGGTCCTCAGCGGCTTAATTTGGACACAGCTTGATATATGATATAACCAACAAAATGAGATTAACTTAAGCTGCAAGAAGACAACAACCAGTACAACACAGAAATGCTGGTGTCGGCAGAGTTGTACCCAAGTTGAAACAAGCACAGTGCAGAAAGCCAACCAGTTGGATGGGTCACATGCAGCTTGGCAGCTTGTAGATGGCGAAGGCAATGCCGAAGCCAACCAAACGAGGTACCGTCAGCAGGACTCACGACGCAACGCGTAAAATCTCTGACTCTTGGTGGACGTTGCGTGGGAAAATCCACCAGAACTCCCATTCTGCCAATATGTGGGGTGCCATCCTCAAGCAGTTTGGCTCCAAGGGATTGACCCATTGACCCCCAAGGTTTCGGGTCCCGCTGTCGTCCCCCCGGCCTGCGACAAATGCAATGCTCTTTCCGGAATCGAAGTCTTCAGGTGCTGACAGCGTCAGGGTGGTGTCAATGGTGCACTGATGCTCTTGTGAATATATAGCTACTCTATAGCGATACCGGATACCGGATACCTCTACTTGTTCCTATTCTTATGGTTATACAAGGTTTGATCATGCAGTTAAAGTCTGGCATTGAGTGGCAAATTATAAGTGACATGCAAAATCAGTGAAAGTTGATGAAACTTGCCTTTGCCAAACATTTGCCCGTGGAACTTTTACATATGCCCAGGAACACCACTCCCTTCTACTTCGTGAAGAAATTATCTTTGTGTGGCAACTGACGAAGCGATCACTTGAGTGGTTTCTTCAAATGTCAATGATCAAACTTCAACTGTCATCAAGAGATGGACCTCTGGCCCAAAGATGTTGGTTCATGTTTAGAATACTGTGTTTTTTCCGACCCAAAGCTGATATCTCAACTGCAAAAGGGTGTGGCACCCATCAAGACGAACACCTCCCGGCCACTCGGTCGAGGCCTCCCGACTCCAAGAGAGGACTGTGTTCAGTCCGCCCTGGTACGGACCCATGAGCCCCCACAACCACCCAGGCATCAACCACAAGCTACATGTAGCGGAATTTTCCGCACCAACAGCATCTCCATGACAGATTTCTGCCATCATAACACCCCTGAGAAATCCTGGTTGGGTATTGAATTGGTTCCCATATGATGGCAAACTATTGATGATCCAGGGAAATTGATTCAGTACTGCGGGATCAATCCACTGAGGTTGCACTAGGCCGAATTGAGAATCAAAACATGACCGATCATATCCTGTTGTAATTAAACATAGCTACAGCAGCTACAGGAAATGACCTTGTCTAATTCATCGAACTAAATGGGCCATTTTCAATAGAAAATCGTGAAATGACTAGATGGTACTTGTAAAAAATGTTTTCACCCTGCAACAATGAACAGGCATTGGCACGACATCTGGTGGAAATATTTTACAAATTGCAATAGTTTGTGAACATCATTTTTAACTTTGAACTTAAACCATCGATGTAATTTGTTTTTGTAATAAGTAAGTGCTATAAAATGGCCCCCCCATAGCAGCTACAACCCTAACCAAAGGAAAGTGAATGGTCCCAGTGCATCCCAGTTACTATTTTTTTTCATAGCATGGTTCCAACCCAGCTACGTAATCCTATATTCACCTCAGGTTAATAAACCCGTGGACTGGTGAATTGGGTGGGAGCATTTTGGTAGCATATTGCCACTAGTTTAGGGGGAGCGCCCTCAATTGAAAAAATATTGTTCATACATTGTCTATATATATATAAATACATTTATAAAAATACAACTATTAATCTATGTATGTGCGTATATACATACAATATTTACCAGATATAGTGCCCGGCCGTGCCGGGGCAGGAGTTTCGAACAAAATGTTTCTAACAAATCACTGACTTATAGGAGTGTTTGTGAGATGCAGAAGCACTGAGAGATTAAGGTTGTGAGGTGCATCAACGATTGAGCAAAGGTTGCTGAGATGCCGATGACATGCCATGAATATGAAATCGATGACATGCCATGAATATAAAATCGATGACATGAGAAAACCACGGCTGAATGAACGAACGAACAAACCAACCAACCAACCAACGAACCAACGAACGAATGAATGCATGAACGAATGAAGGAACCAACCAACCAACGAATGAATGAACGAACCAACGAATGAATGAATGAATGAATGAATGAATGAATGAATGAATGAATGAATGAATGAATGACTGGATGACTGAGTGACCGCATGACTGAATGACTGAATGAACGAAGGAACGAGGGAACGAAGGAACGAAGGAACGAAGGAACGGAGGAACAAAGGAACGAAGGAAGGAAGGAAGGAGGAAGGAAGGAAGGAAGGAAGGAAGGAAGGAAGGAACAAAGGAACAAAGGAACAAAGGAACGAAGGAACGAAGGAGCGAAGGAATGAAGGAACGGAGGAACGACTGAACGACTGAACGAGTGAGTGAGGAAATGAGTGAATGAGTGAACGAATGAACGAATGAACGACTGGACGAGTGAGTGAGGAAATGAGTGAATGAGTGAGTCAGTGAATGAATGAATGAATGAATGAATGAATGAATGAATGAATGAATGAATGAATGAATGAATGAATGAATGACTGAATGTATGAATGAATGAATGAATGAATGAATGAATGAATGAATGAGTGAATGAGTGAATGAGTGAATGAGTGAATGAATGAGTGAATGAGTGAATGAGTGAATGAGTGAGTGAGTGAGGAAGTGAATGAATGAATGAGTGAATGAGTGAATGAATGAGTGAGTGAGTGCCATGAGTGAGTGAGTGAGTGAGTGAGTGAGTGAATGAATGAATGAATAAATGATTGAATGAATGAATGAATGAATGAATGAATGAAGGAGGGACGGAGGGAAGGAGGGAGTGAGTGGGTGGGTGAGTGAGTGAGTGAGTGAGTGAGTGAGCGAGCGAGCGAATACTTGAATGGAATGGAAAGGAATGGAATGGCATGGAATGGAACGGACCGGACCTGGACATGGACATGGACATGGACAGGGACAGGGACATGGAATGGAATGGAATGGTGTGGAGTGGAGTGGAGTGGAGTGTAGTGTAGTGGAGCGGAGTGGAGTGGAGTTGAATGGAACAGATTGAACGAATGGAATGGAATTGGAAGTGGAATTGGGATTGGAATTGGCGTTGGGGTTGGGAATGGAATGAATGGAATCAATGGAATCAATGGAATGAATGGAATGAATGAAAGAATCAAAGAATCAAAGAATCAAAGAATGAAAGAATGAGAGAATGAGAGAATGAAAGAATGAAAGAATGACATGACATGAACATGAAATGAACATGAAAATGAAAATCAAAGTGAAATGAAAGTGAGAATGAAAGTGATAATGAAATTGAAAATGAAATGAAAACTAACATGATGCTGAAAAAGCAAGAATGAAAACAAAACGAAATGAAACGAAATGAAATGAAAATGAAACAAAATGAAACGCAATGAAATGAAAATGAAACGAAATTAAACGCAATGAATGAAAATGAAACCAAATGAAACGAAATGAAACGCAATGAATCAATGAAGGAATGAAGGAAGGAATACATGAACCATGAAATGAATGATGGAAGGAAGGAAGGAAGGAAGGCAGGGAGGGAGGGAGGGAGGGAAGGACGCAAGGAAGCAAGGAAGCAAGGAAGCAAGGAAGCAAGGAAGCAAGGAAGCAAGGAAGCAAGGAAGCAAGGAAGCAAGGAAGCAAGGAAGCAAGGAAGCAAGGAAGGGAGGAAGGAAGGAAGGAAGGAAGGAAGCAAGGAAGCAAGGAAGCAAGGAAGCAAGGAAGCAAGGAAGCAAGGAAGCAAGGAAGCAAGGAAGCAAGGAAGCAAGGAAGGGAGGAAGGGAGGAAGGAAGGAAGGAAGCAAGGAAGCAAGGAAGCAAGGAAGCAAGGAAGCAAGGAAGCAAGGAAGGAAGGAAGCAAGGAAGCAAGGAAGCAAGGAAGCAAGGAAGCAAGGAAGCAAGGAAGCAAGGAAGCAAGGAAGCCAGGAAGCAAGGAAGCAAGGAAGCAAGGAAGCAAGGAAGCAAGGAAACCAGGAAGCAAGGAAGCGAGGAAGCAAGGAAGCAAGGAAGCAATTAAGCAAGGAAGCAAGGAAGCAAGGAAGCAAGGAAACCAGGAAGCAAGGAAGCAAGGAAGCAAGGAAGCAAGGAAGCAAGGAAGCAAGGAAACCAGGAAGCAAGGAAGCAAGGAAGCAAGGAAACCAGGAAGCAAGGAAGCAAGGAAGCAAGGAAGCAAGGAAGCAATTAAGCAAGGAAGCAAGGAAGCAAGGAAGCAAGGAAGCAAGGAAGCAAGGAAGCAAGGAACCCAGGAACCCAGGAAGCAAGGAAGCAAGGAAGCAAGGAAGCAAGGAAACCAGGAAGCAAGGAAGCAAGGAAGCAAGGAAGCAAGGAAGGAAGGAAGGAAGAAGCAAGCAACAAGGAAGGAAGGAATGAATGAATGAATGAATGCGCCGCACCTCAGGTTTTTACATGTTTTTTGCGAGATCGATCTATCGCTGCAGTCTCGCGCACTTTTCCCGATCTCATCTTCCAAAAGTGCTCCCAACACCCCAACTTCTTACGATTTTTGAAATGCAAATCGAGCTCTCGCTACTGTCTCTTGCACATTTTTCCTATCTCATCTTCCAAAAGTTCTTCAAACGCCTTAATTTGAACATGCTGAAACGCAAATTGAGCTCTCGCTACAGTCTCGTGCATAGTTTTCCGACCTCGTCTTCCACAAGTGCTCCGTACGCCTCAGTTTTTTTAGCATTTTGAACTGCAACTTTGCGACCCCAGGAGCCACCATGCCCGTATAATCACAGGGTTTTGCGCCCAAGAGTGTTTTCACCCGTAAGTTCACACGATCCCAAACTGCTACTCTCCTCTACTGTTCCCACCTGCGAACTGGTATTGCTGCCTCTATGGTTGACATGATGACAAGACTCACCATGGACACTCGTCCGTAACTTGGAAGTTTGCGAACTAAACTTCCTTTGATTATATTATGAGTGAAGCCCAGTCGGAGGACTTGCGAAGCACAGGCGTATCAACCACTAGCCCACCCCGCGCTGGACCTGCCATTCTCTCCTCGTGCTCCACGGAGGTTCGGACAAGTTGGCACTGGGAAACGCTGCGAAAGACGTCAAGCTGCGCAAGTGGAAGGAGCTACAGCGGAGTCCAGAAATGGGGAGGCATGGGGTGTACTTGCAAGGTGCAGTTCCACTTACAAGTGGATATATAACCATAGTGTCCGTAGTGTTAGGGGGGTTATCCCAACTTATGGGGTTACTACATGTTACTACCATGGTCGCAACTGCACCAAGTACCCCGTATGTTTTTCGCTATCAAGAAATGAGGAAGATTATGGCTGATTATGGCTGATTCTGGTACAAAGGAGAAGCCATTTGAGATGCATAAGAGGCAACCTATTTCTAGACAAAGCCAGGTGTTTTAAGGGAATGTCCTTCCCCCTCCAGTCATTTGACCTACTGGGGTCATGAGCAGCACTTGGATGGGCAAATAAAACCCAGGTACCAAGTGGCTTTGACAATTGGGTACCCGTACAAAATCCAATGGGCAATCATCATTGCTCCCATTTCAATGGACAAACCCAAACCGCAACCTCTCACCAAAGAACGCTGTTCTCAAGGATCCCGCAAAAGGCCAAGAAAACCATGTGAGCAACTCAGTCGCAGATCTGAGTTTGTCTGATTTTTTTCGGTGGAAAAAAAATATCATGGATTTATCATCATGTCCTCTATTGAAGCTGCCATTTTGGGGTATACCATGGTATACCGAGTATACTACGCATTTTTGGGTGTTTCTTGCCGCTCAACTTTTCCTCAACGGCGTTGCGGTGCTTGTGGCTGAGGTGTCATGAGGTCCTGGGATTGGAGACGCAGCTCATCCCAGTCATCCCAAGAAAAAGTGCTCCGCCATTGCAGCATCCCTCAGAGCTGGTACATGCTGATACCATCTGATACCTAGGTTTCAACTGCATGGGATGCCCATGTCCCCATCTCCTGGTAGAAATTCCGAATTGTCTGGTCTTCCAAATTCCCGGATTTCATCCATTGAAACCACGCCGTCCACTGTTCTTCGTTCGTGGGCATGCCATTCCTCAGTCGAAGTGGCACAAAGTGGCTTCAGCATCCACACAAAGAGTTCTCTTCCCAGGAAGCTGACATATTTTCCATATGAAAACCATCAAAATATGATTTTCCAGGATTTCCAATACTTCACAACTTGATCTTCCCCAGCTCCAGCTCGCTCTCTTCGCTCTCTTTTGTGCTTTGCCAAAGGTCTTCTGCATCCATTGGCCATGCATCATTTTTGCCTTAGCTTTTTCCTTTTCTTCCAACTCCTCTGCTTCTTTTTCCTCCTTCATGTTCTCCCGAATCCTTAGCCATGCACAGCCGTGCCAAAGGAAAACTATACATTCTGGCTCATTTAGCTGGAAGCTG